TGAACGTGATTCAAAAGATGTCTGAGAGATTTGCTTAAGAAATGTCTTCGTTCTTCATTCGAAATTCTGAAATGTGTTTTTCGTAAAATTAAAAAAAAACATTAAATTCAAAGTAAAAAATAGTTTCTACAGTAAAATAGCTATCACTAATATTATAGGTAATAAATGTATATCTACACAGCTGTAAAGTAAAAGAAAGAATTGAAAAGAAAAATAAGACAAAAGAGACGTATATGCAGAAAAAGGGAACGATTTATATTAAAGCGAGCCACGCAAGTTTATTGATAGTGGTAAATGTGTAGAAGCTCTAGGTAGATAGATCTCTGGGGTAGATGCGGGATGAGAGAAGAGGAATCCGAGAGAAGCGAGGAAATGAATGCAGGTACTCCGGACAGTGGGGTAGGTTTCCCCTACTTCCCCGCTGCGTTCCTAAGCATTCTCTCTCTCTCTCTCTGTTGAGTCGGTCGTTTCTGCTGTTCCATCATGTGGGATGAGGACAAGCAAGCGCCAGCAACAGCAGCGAGCGATTGACCAGCAACAGCGACACACAGGCGCAGTACGAGCGTGGAAAATTCCACTCCCATTTCGTCTCCACCCTTCGCAGCAAGAGTGGCGGAATGGAAGAGGGGAAAAGCTATTATTTTTATTACGTTCTTTTCAAGCGCATTAACCCACGCAGTTGAGTAATGTTAGCTTGTACTCGGTTATTGCATTCTCGTTGGCTATACAAGCCAACATGTACATGCGACTATATATTTCATTATTATGCTGCAGCGTTGCCTCATGTGATTATTCTAGCATAGAAACTGGGATACAATATATTACATATTGCATACATGAATATTGAATGCAAATGTTTAATAATTCACATGACTAACAATAAGTTACGATCATGTTATTTTGATTTGCAAAAAGTTATTAATACTTATTAAATATTTTATTACAGTAACTTGAAGCGAATATTGCGGAGTTTGTAAAATGAAAAAATATTTTTCCTCAACGATAAGAAAACTCAATCTATTTTTAACAAGTTTGTTCAGATCCAGGTAATTGAGTTTTAAAATATTATTTATCCTTTGTTTAAATTGCATCAATATGCATATTGCATAACAACCTTTGCAATACAACCTTTATAATAATAACTTCGGACAAATTGTGAGATAGTCTCGTAATTCCGGTAATCAAACACTGTCGAGATTTGCATCTTTTTATTCTTTTTTTTCTCTCTATCTCTCTTGCTTTCTTCAAACGGCGTAACTTGAACAAAACTCATCAAGAAGAAATCGAGCTTAAAATATTGTGCACAACTTGTGGTAAAATCGAGTTGGAGGGGAAGTAACAGAGGGAAATGGTGGGTCAATGTACGTTGCGAACCGTCTTTCATTTCTTTTCTTCCTTTCTCTCCCTCTCTTTCTCTTTCTCCTTTCCCCCCGTTCTCAATCTCCTCCTCTTCCACCTCTCTTTTTCTCCTCCCACTTCCCGTACCAAAGTTACGCCGCTACTATATCGTGATAATCTTGCCTGCTCCATAAAGGGGATTACCTTCTCTGCGCCGAACTAACGCAGTCATTGCTCATACTAGTATGAGTTTCTACTAACCGTAGAACGGAAGTTATGTGGCGGAGTGGGGGATGGAGAGGATCAATAGTCAAGTATCTCTCGGAATGTAAATACTAGTGGCAACCGGGTGCATATTTGACCACCCAATTGCATGCTTGCAGCTTTACAGCGCAGGATCACAGCAACATCTGATGATTGATTACACCGCTATTATTAGCTTTTAAGTATTTACTGTTGTATTAATAGACAATAACAAAAAGTCGTAAAATTTTCCTATTGCCGTAATATAAAACGAATGATGTGAACAAGTAATATGACTAATGACTTTCGTATGCAATTGAACACAAATTTGTAAATAAGCAGCAAAGTGCTGCAACTGTGAAGTTCTTTGATGTTCTTTGACTTCTATTCATCGTGAGTGTTGACGTCATTGGTTTGTTTGCTCGCAAGCTATTTCGTAGTGCGTATAAAATTTTGATTAACGAATATCATCGAAATGTGTAACTATGACTCTAAAAATACATTTGTTTTTGTTACTTGATTAATTTATATGCAAAAGATATAGATAGGTTTGAGATGCGCCGTTTTTCCTTCGGTCTCAGGGGCGTGGCATATAAATGAGTTGAGAACAATTGTTTTACTCATTCTGAAAGTCTTTCTTTTTAAGTCTACCAAGTTCAATAGAGCCAACCTTCTATGAAAAAGATAAGGTCTAAAAATAGAATCCAGGCATTGTGCTACACGAATGTCTGGGACCGAGATTCGTTACGATCAATAGACAGATTCGGCCGTTTTCGACATGTTCCGTTAAGTTCCCCTACTATATTCGTCCTCATCGACCTCTAACCATTACCGGCCACGCCTTGCTTGTGTGAATTCCATAAGCTAAACTAGTTATTCAGGATGCAATTATACTATTTATGCACTATAGATTTTCCTTATAAAACTAGCATTAAAAAAATATGGCTTGCTTATCTTTTCAGCTTGTATAGAGTGATTCATTTTAAGTAACACATTTTTCTTTCGAATTTTTTCTAAACAAATATCTCCAACGAAAGTTTTACTGTTTTATTATTTTAAATAGATAATATAATGTATGCAAATTTTTTTAAGATACCAGTATAATCGCGATATTTTTTACAATAGAAATGTATAATTTTTCTTGCGTAATACAATTTTTTTATTATCAAATCATTTATAAAGTATTTAAAAAAGTATTAAAAATAAGATTATAAAAAACCAGTATAAATTAAGAGATATTTCTTATTTTATATATTAAAATATGTTAGAATACTATAGTAGTAAGCTATAATATTCTATAAATTAATTTTTTAATTTTCATACTTTTATATAGAGAAGAACTAAGGAACTGAACTATATATGGAAAAGTCATAGTTTCATTTTTTTAAATATAGATATTATCTAACAAAAACGCGTTATAAAAAATTGCATGCATTATATTCTTTTTCTTTCATTGCGTTATATTACCAACCTAAAATTGTAAAATTTATATTTGATATTTCAGAATTTAATTTTTCCAAACAAAAGCTTATTTCGAGAGAAAAATCGGTGTAATTTATAAAATGAATCAACCTGTATATACATGCACAAGTATCAAATATTCTACGACTGCAATACGATGCAATATTATGCAATTGATTACGCATATTTTTGTATATATAAACTTCTCAGGAGCCAAACTGGTTAATATCTTAAAAATTAAAATAAAGAAAATTGATGAAGTCTAATTTAATCATAAGCTTTGATACGAAAATTAAAAGTTTCACAAAAAGTGGACTAGTTAATTTAAATCAATGTATTGAAAGACATATTTTGCGCGATAATTACTTTGTACAAGATTGAGCCAACCTCGAGAAATTTAATTATGGGAGAGTAAATATGAAACGTCTATCATGACGATCTGTTGCCAGCTTTGAGTCGCGTAGACTGTTGGTTGATTTCCAACACCACGGATCAATGTTACATGACGGCAATGTATCGGGGAGGAAACGTATCGGTCGCTTTAATTTCCATGGAACCAGAAGCACAATCGCGAAATTATGGATATAAATCGTCAGCGGTGCATTTAAGTACAATGGATGACAGGCGACAATTGGACAGTTGGCGTTGACGATTTCGCTGGGGAATTGCACGAATGAAGGATTCAGTTGAAAGCTACGGCATGAGTACGAGCGAGAAAGACAGAATAAGGGGGGAGAGGGGTACGAGCGAGAAAGACAGAATAAGAGGAAACTTGGTAGAAGAGGGCAGCGAAGATGGAGGGAGGGAAGATTGGTAGGAAAAGCGACTACGCGCAGAAAGAGGACGAACGGCACAGAATAGTTTAACAGGTTGTGGTTACGAGCAGCCGCCGTCGCTCATTGGTTCCCCACCCGTACTTGAGTACACGTTAGGTTAACTTAATTTTCATTCGTGCTTCTTCCACCACTACTCTCTCCCCTCATCACCCTTTTCTTTCTTAGCTTTAGCTTCCTTTATTTGTTATTGTCCATCCGCCTGCTTGGCTTGCTACGTCACAGTGTGATACTTTTTTATATTTGCTGGGTTCCACGCTTCAAAGGATCTGAATACTCGACTTTCGTGCGTCACATGTGTGTAAGTATTACAACACGTATATGAGCATAACAGGGGAGTGAACCCCCCGGGCACCAAGAGACGCGGCAAGAGCAGGTACAAAAGTGGCAGGAGGGCGAGAGGGAGAGGGAAGAGGAGCGAGTAGCGATGGTAGCTGCATGAGAACAAGAGAAAGAGAGAAGGGGGGGTGGGAGGGCTAGGAGGAATAGATGGTGGGAGATAGAGGGGAGGGAGAGTAATAATCCCGCCGTCTGGAACGGCAAACGGCGCACGCTGCCTCACGAGCGCGCGCGCGCGCGCGTCTTTACAAAACGACGTCTATCTGAAAACTCTGAACTCTCGTCCTCAACAATTCATACCGAGTTAATTATCCTGCTGCTCGTGCGCGATCGACGTCACCTACATCTTTTGCTACCCCCATATCGGTACCTCGGTACTAATAATAAACTCAGACTGGACGCGAACAGGGCGACGGATCATAGCCGCGGCTGCCATCGGGGATTGCGCATCACGTCACTGAATCCCGTTCGAAGCGGAGCGAGTGTAGTAGTGCCGTATATACGGGACGGCAGAAGTGATCATGTCATGATATTGTCAGTCATGTAATCATGTGTAAGAGAAAGCACCCACGAGGAAAGCGCGGGAGTATAGTCGTATTCGCGCGACGGCACCTACAACAGGAAGATCGGCCACTTTTTTTATGTCGATCCACCGCCGCAGCTACCGCAGCTGCGGCCCGTAATAACGAGATGAGAGGCCCGCGATTCTCTCTCACCCTGTCGCCATGCCGTCCAACGCGCCCAAGATCCAAGAAAGCGCGCGCGTAATTAATTGACTTTACCTACCGTTGAACATTGCTACACGTTTACCGATTCGAAAGGTTTTGGCGAAACATCAAGCCGCGCCGGTGTGTCGCGTGTAGTGTCGCGCACCTCTCGGAATCTTCTTCTTGTGCTTCGGTGTTATTCGTACGGCTGCCGAAAGAGCGCCCGCCTACTCTCGAATCGACAGCTCGATCGCGGAAGATCGCGGGATTTCGGATTGTTCCGATGAAAATTACGATCAGTGGTAGTGCGTACGTACTAGTACTAACCGATGATCGCTGCCAGTACGTGATGTTCGCGTTGCCGATTATAGCGTCCGGCGGAATTGTTCATCCGAGGATAAGCCGATGTTGATAATAATGTCCGTAAGTATGACGTTTGCCGCAATAAATATGAAAGTGTTATTTGCGCGCGAAAAAAGCTAAATAGGAAATTTGTAACGTCGTTACAAGCCTCGTAAAAGCGAGACGATATTACTCTTGCGTCTATTTATTTATTATAATAAACTTGCGCAGATTTGATATAACGCGATCGGATGTTGGATGTTGACGTATAAAATTTTCCGACTAAATAAAAACTCCGAGTTATTACCTACTTATTCGCAGATTGCGAAAATGAATAATCCGATTGTATCACGATTTTCAGGAATTTAAATTTTCTGCAAAAAATAAGATCTATAAGGACGGCGCTGTGGAGCTGTTGCAAAATTTCGGTACGTGTTTTGTATAACAATAATCAGTTGTAACATAGACTAATACTAATTCTATAAAGTATAATTCTGTAAAACAGAACTGACATAAATATGACATCATCTTTTATGTCACAGATTTTAACATATTTTTGAAAAGATTAAAATTTAAAAGATATTTAAATATTATTTTATATATGTACATCGATATTGTTTCTTTTTAATTTGAATTTTTTAATTAATATATTTGCTTTAATTTAAAGATTGAAAATTTCAAAAAGGTTCGTTTAATATGTCAGAACATTATTTAAATAATAGTGAATTAATGTTACTGTCAATCAATATTACTGTTATTTTTTGTAAAATTTATCTTCATTGGAATTGGATCTAAACTTTATACGTATTATATGGTACTTGTACGTTTGACTTTGCTTCTGCTTCTTATCTAGAGAAGAATCCTTTTAAATATTCACTCTATATTTCTAATATTGAAAATCTGTAACGAAACAATTGTATCTATTTTATAGATGTGCTGATAAATGTGCATATAGACATGAATTATTGGCTTGAATATAATTTTTTTTATTTTATGAAAAAAAAAAAGATTTACTTTCTCACAGCTTCTGATAACATTCTCTTTTCTGATAGCATTATACTTTATAGTGCTCATGAGTATTACTCTATGTTACTCTGTGTTATTTTGAGAACTACTATAATTTTGTGATAAACTTTTATGGACGTCGGTTTAGCAATGTAATTTATATCCCTGTATTTCTATTGTTTTGCACAAAGAAATCTGTGTATCTTCTCTTATCGTCTCGTTACATGTACTTCCTTCTAAATGTTATATAAAGTTGCATATGAAAGACACGATCCAATAAATTATGAATTACGACTACAACAGCTACAGCGTCTGATCTCGTTGTGCATAAGTATACTTTTTATATATAGGTATTTATGTACATAATATAATATGTATATAAGTATACAAACGCTTTTTCAGCAACATCCTTTTTTTTCCTTTCGCATATCTGTTTCTTATTTCTTCAAATTAAAATTAATATCTCAAGAGATTTGACATAATCTCTGGTAAAATATTTCACAAATATATGTCACTTTGCGCGTTTATATATATATATATATATATATATATATATATATATATATATATATTAATGGGCATCGCTTTTGATTTTTTCACTAACTCTTTGTCCGGCGTCAACCAAGCGATTACATACCGGCTGTATAGGTTAGGAGTTTGTAAACACGCGGCAAGAAGCGCGCCCGTAATCGTATCACGCGACCCAATAAACACCCAAGTTTCCGAGCACGTTTTACCGCGACTCCGGTTGTACTTCTCGCACGCCGGCAGAGAATGCTCGCTCACCTCGTCAATGAGGATGACGTCGCGACGAGGATGAACGGCGAGACTCCCGTCACTCTTTCCATCGTACTTATTAGCGTTACAGAATAAGCCGCGTCTCTCGGAACATTTCAGGAGTAACGTAACGAGCAGTCCTCGATTGTGGGTGCTTGTCATTTAGTGACACAAATATCATTTCATTTTTCTTGGAATTCAACAAGCAACAAAAGATCTCTTCTTTGTTATTGAATCGGTTTATAATTTATTTATTTATATATTTGAAATTTGGTGAAAGCGAGATAGGAATTAGAAGTATAATTTTAATGCAATTCAATGTAGCGAAAAAAGAAAAAAACAACGTTATTAATTATATTACGTCAACTTGTGTTATAAGTGATTATATCGATTTCTAGGAATAAGCGGCAAAATAAAGAAAAAAAATATCTGTTACCAAATGGAAAGCACCCTGTTTACTCGTGTGAATCGTGTGACTCGTGTCTTCCCTCTCGGAAAGGGGGGAACTCGTTCTTTTGTACCTCGAACAATGACGAACATAACGAACTTAACAGTTGTCTCCATTCGTTCTCGATTCTCAGGAGAGAACGAAAAGAATGCTTGATCCACGATTTAAAATTCGGTTGGCCAACGTGGGTATTCCAGTGCACCGCGAGCACTTTTTTCATGCTCTTTCGGAACTCCGTTGCAGCGTCGTCGCGCGTGGTGCACGCCAAGTGCACGCTGCCACACGTCCGACCAATCGCCGGCGGGGAATTGCGCGCCGATACGAAAGCGGCCAATGCGGCGCGTGCTTTAGCGTGCGTATCGATTGGCGAGTCGTGTTTTCAATTCTAGGCGAAAGCGCCGAGCGAGTGGCAATTATTCTCCGGCGTCGGCCATTTTGCGCGAGTACTCGTACCCGCTGACCACCGCTGCGCGTGTAGATAGATCGCGCGCGTCGATTTGTTTACGCGTCTCTCTCATGTAAATAAATATACATACATGTATTACAATTGGTGCCCACACACCTAATATCGTGCCATCGATGTGAAGCGGCTGCCCCGCGTTCCGCGTTCGACGTGCGGTACATGACGCGCATAACCGCGTCAAATCGAGGCACATAGCCTTGGCCGCGAGTGATCTTTACGTGGGTGACGAAAAGCGCGGTAAATTGCGAGTGATTCGCCGACGTTTCGTGGATGGAGAGACCATTTTGATTTACCTTCATCGGCGTGCCATCTCGGTGCGTTTACTACTTGAATTTCTCTTTCTCTCTAGCTCCCTTCTGTCTTCCGTGCGCTCGTCTCTTTCTCTCTCTGTCCCCTCTTTCTCTCCCTACCCCGCAGGAACGATGTAACTTCTGCGCACCAAACAAACTTTACATGTACGTGAGCGTGACGGATGTGTGTGCGCGAGATGTAATAAAATACAGGCGCGCGAATATACGACACGGGAAGATGTAACCTTCTCCAGCCAGGGAAGGTGTAGTGACGGGACCCATGCGTTCTGTTTCAGACGAGAGCGAGGGCACTCCCAATTCGTCGGACGACAGCTTGAGCAGTCAGCAACTGCTTCTGGATTGCGATATTTGCGGCGAGCGTTTCACCTCGAAGAAACCGTTGCGCGTACACATCAACACTCACCTAAGGAAGCTCCGCATCGTCCTCAAGAGAGTAACAAGTCCGAAGGTGGTGAAGGTGAAGAAGGACACGTACTGGCTGGATCCAGAGAAGACCGGCTTGTTGAAGTTGACCCTGAAGAAGCAAAGCGTGGCCGATTCGCTGAAGCTTACCCTGAAGAAGTCCTCGGAATCGGAAGATTTCACCGTAGTGAATAATAACTTTTACCCGGTCATTAAGTACTACCAGCAAAGAGACGTGGCAGGTGCTAAGGAAAATGATCCAAGAGACGACAAGGCAGCGGAGAACTCGATTAACGAACCTTTCGAGAACGTGATGGTGGATCAACAAGTGAGTCTTTCTTTTTAGGCGATATGGTGTTAAGGCTGAAGATTTTTTCATTTTCTGTTGTGCTCCTATTTGTAGGATGATTATGACAACGTCAAGTTGGACACCGACCCTCACAATCCTCTGGAAGAGAATGAAAGACCGTCCACAGATATCAATGAGAGTGACTCTGATGTAGGGAGTGATATGGCAAATCCATCTGAGAAAGATGATCAAAATGTCGATGATACACATAACACCGATAACTTTGACAGTTCTGAGAAAAGGCTTTCAGAATCTGAAGATCAAGAGGAAACAGACGCTTTGGAAGCGACCTGCAGAGAAACTATTGAAAACTTGAAAAAACTCGGTGAACAATCGAGGTAGGTTTAGATGTTATCAATGTATTACGCTGTTACTTTTGGCAATTGCAAAGATTCGAAGATTCGAGAGAATTCGAATATTTGAAGTTTTGAATCTTCAAAGTTATCAAAAGTAAACAGCTCTATTGTTTATTACATGACTAAACATTTAAGATGAAAACGTTAGAGTAATCTCAAGAAGAAAACGTGAAAATTAAAAGAATTAAAATTAAAGCGTGAAAGCTTTGTTTTAATTGTTTATAAAGCTGATAAATAAAATTTTAGTTTATGCAAATATTTGGGAGCCTTCACATTCACTCTGTTCATAGAAAACTTTTAGCTTTAACTATCAGATATTTCAGTCGCGATATCTTTCTGGATTTAAGTTTTTTTGTAGCTCCAGGTCAGCTAGTCAACTGATCGACAGTTCATCAGTGGAAGAAGAGGATGACAGAAGCCATGAATCCAGTATGATACATAATCTCGAGCAGAATCCTTCCATCAGCATTAATCCAAAGTCTTTCACGTTTACCAATCATGCAACTGAACGCACTCCGGTCTGCGACACTGAAGACAAGAACAGAGAATCAACTGATACATCACAAGGTTTCAACTGGAATCAACTATCCGATTTATCAAGCAAGAGCAATGAAGACTTCAATAAAGAAGATAGTCAACAACAGGGAGACACTTGCGGCGATGCTAACATGGACAATGCCGGATCGATTTTACAGAGTTTTCTCATTGAACATCAGAGGCGCAATCCGAACGAGGTGTCGTTATCGAATAATATGTCGTCCAACGAAACGGCGGAATACGTGCCCCTGGAGAAGTTGGCGGAGACTGTCAACACATGTCGTGTCTGCAATGAGAAGTTCAAAGACATCGCGCATCTGGATGAGCACCGTAGCAAAGCCGGTCATTATCAGTGTAATATACCAGAATGCTCCAATCTCATCTTCCACTCTACGGTGGAGGTATCGATACATCGGGCACAAGTACACGGTACCTCGCTCTCGCCGAGCATAAGCCAACTGTCACCTCACCATTTGTCGAACACAAATGCACACTTGGGCCAAATCACACTTTCACCCCATGCTGTTTCCGCCACGTCTATGGAGGCATCACCGACGAATGGTTCGCATCTCAGTAGAACTTCACCCTTAACGTCGCCGCATCAGACGCATTCACCAACATTTAATTCGGCGGTGGCAGCGAGCAGTGCTGCTGGCCAGCAAATGCAAATACCCCCGGTAAACTTTGAGCAACTACCACCACCTGTACAGCAACTGGCCCAGCAAGTGCAGCGTATGCCTCTTCCACAGACGCAAATGCCCCCTAGTCTTCCTCCAGGAGCCAACACAATGATACCTGCACCAAATTATTTTGTACAACCACCGGGACGGCCACCATTGTATAGAGTACCTGGTCCGCAAGGTATACACTATTCACCACACATGGCGCACTTGTATCAATATGGACCGGGTCCGTATCCTCAAATAGCCGCGCCTCCTCCGCAAATGCATCCCCAAATGCCCCAACAAGTTCCACGGGGGCGATATCCGTCGACGTCTGTTGTTCAAAACAGCAGGTAAGCATAAGCCTTTTGTACAGACGTGAACATGTTCGTTAGAGGGTATTTTTAATTTTCAGAGCACCGCGGTTACCACAAACCTCCGGTCCAGTTCCTCGCCAGCGTATGAAGAGGCCCTTGCAACAAACTATACAACAACAAAATAACACTTCTGCCAAACAGCAGAGGCGTATGGATGTTCTGTTGCCTGATAGAAACGAAGATGCAGACTGCCATGTCATAGCTCAACAGAAGAGAAATGACGGACTACCTGTTATTCAAAATGTTCAAGGGGCTACCACGCAGCAAACTAGTAGAAACGATTCTACGATACATCTCACAGATTCAATCACTTTAAGTGTTCGACAACCTGGTAAGTTTATAATACATGTCAGAAGAGTACTCGATTGGAATTAGTTATTTCGTTTTCAAGTTTTGTTACTGCTTACATTTTTTATGCTTCTGTGTAAAGTGCCTCTTCTATGAAATTTGGTTCCTATAATTTTGTTTAAGAGTATTTTCAGTTGCTTTTACAAACAAACAAAAAATTTGTTATATTTGCAATTTTGAAATTTAGTAAAATTGTTTAGGGGTCCCGATCACCTTGATCTTGAATAAACATATATTTTTAAGGTCATTATTTTGAATAACATTTCAAAAGCTTTAGCCGTCGTTATTTATTAAAAAATTATTGACAAAAGAAGTTTCAATAATAGAGCATAATTTTCTGACATCGTGTGTATTTAAAAAGAATATATGAAAAACCTATTTCTAATTTAAAACTAATTTAAAACTAAATTGTAGGAAACAATACAATTGCAGATCTCATTTCGCTCTAAACAGGAGAAGAATGGACTTTGCCTCGTGTGTAAAATCGAAATCTGTGGAAGCCTCGTTTAACGTTAAAAAATTCATGCCTTAATGCAGAGGATTTTGCTCCCCTTCTCCATTCTCCCCAAACCCGTGTGGAACCTCGCTTAGCGTTGCAAAATACATGCATTAAATGCAGAGGGTTTCGGTCCGCCCCTTTCCTTCCCTATGGGGCAGACTTCATAACTGAAAAGACAAATAGGTTTGGATTGGAATCTCGCTTCGCGTAAAAGGTTGTAAACTCATGAAACCTCGCTTCGCATGGATTTACAACCGAAGAGAGGTTTTAACTCGAACCTATTTGTCTAGTTTTTTTAATTCCCCCCCCCCTCTCCTTCCTCCCGAAGAAGGAGGAGGAGGAGGAGGGAGCCTCACTGCGTCCACACATACACTTTATAACGTGAAGCGAGGTTCCACATGGGTTTACAACTTTCCACGCGAAGTGAAGTTCCACATGAGTTTACAACTTTCCACGCGAAGCGAGAACCATTCCACACCGTTTCCTGCTTACAGGACGAAACGAGATCTATTGTACGATTCCGTTCCACGCATCCACGCATTTATTTAAACATGAAATATGTAAATAATGTGATATTTATACTAAGTAAAATTCAAATTATAAAGCTAACACGTCTTTATATTGTCAACTTTATTTGTCAATTTTTTAATTATTATAAGCAAATAAGCGGCGGCTAAAATCTTTTAAATGTTGTTTAAGATCAAATTACCTTGATAATATATCGAGATTAAAGTGATCGGAATAGGTTCTCCTAAACAAAACTTTTATCATTTTTTTCAGTGAGATTTGCTTTAATGTATACTTTTCCGTTTACTTTGTTTTGTTGCATATTATGTATACATATGTTGCAATTATGTATAAAAGAATATGGATCTTTTAAAAGGAATCATTATATTACTATATTCGCAGAAGGGGTGCATTACAGTAAAATAGCGTTGTCTTTTACTAATCTGAAGGTTCCATCCCAGCTCAAGTCCAAAACACGTCGAACCCGGGGGGAAAGAAATCCGACGCCAAGGCGGTAGCAAATGTCCTCGCGGCTCGAGGTATAACCGTTACTCCAGCTGCAAATAAAAATAAGACAAGTGAACAAAACAAACAGCAAATACCCCCCCAGCAGCAGCAGAGGCCACCACCTTCACAGCCGCCTTTAAATGTTACAGCGCTCAATCTGAATTCTGCTATTTCTATCATACCAACTAGTTCACAAAGAAAGCAACAAGAGCAAGGGCAGTTTGCTGTTCCGCAAAACAAGCAAAACAAATCGCCAATCAATGACCAAGTTGAGCGACCGCCGAGACCACCAACCGTGGATCTTACGCAGGATACTCCACCACAAATGCCAGTGGTTAGGCGTGGTCGGCCACCGAGGTGAGAACTGTTTATATATATCATTTACATTGTATCGTAATACATTATTATGCCATTACAATTGTTAATCGTGAGTTAAAGTGTGTTTTTTGTGATAAACAAAATTGAAAATATTTATTTTTCCAGGGCGTTATTAACATGTCAGGTATGTGATAAGAATTTCCAAAATCAAGATATGTTGACGCAGCATATGGCGACTCATCGAACGACTAGCAAACTGCTTCATAGGTAAATTATGAGTTACCTTGCTCGTGAATTTTTTTTTATTTTTTTATTATAGTAACACATAAGGGAATAGAACTGATCAATTCCTTTCTTTTCAAGGTGCAACCTTTGTCCAGCTCAATATCCCACAGTTCAGGCATTGACAACGCACAAACAAACTTATCACAAGGAAGTCGATACTGTTGCACAAAATGGTGGCACGGAATTGGCGTTGCCAGTTGTGGATTTAAAGTCGCCCCATGTCCTGAACCGCCTGGCGAACTTGGGCATTCAAAGTTATATTCCATTGTCGCAGTTAAGTGCTCAAACCGGTGGTTATTTCGGCTTGCCGATAATCACAATAGACGGTGCGAGAAATACGAGCACCTGCAATCTGGGTGCGCTTGGTGCTACCTCCATATTAAGTCTTGGTCCTCTTAAGCATATATCGAACGGGTAACTGCGGGCAAACTCGCACTTGGCCTATTCCACGTGTGCAATCTTTGCATAATCGCTAATTATTAGCCTTGTATTCAAGTTGATTTACTTGTTGCTGTATTGTCAACGACCATGACACAGGACGCGTTCTTATTTCTGAAGAGAAAACCGTGATATAGTTTAAGTAGAGTCGTCATAAACGCGACATTTTATGTATAAAGAATGTGCCAAGGTATGTTCTTTATATAAGAAATACATGCGAGATTCGTGAATTTTTTTTATCTTAATACGGAAAGAAAATGATTGACGACTGACTTAGACATAAAATTTGTTAATTTATATTTATAGACTTAAAAGCAATACAGTATTCTTCGCATAAAACTTTTCTGATTAAAATTATACTACATTTTGATAAAATAAGATTTTAAGACCCAGTTATAATCTAGACGGTAACCCTTTTGCTACAACAGAGCATTGATCGAGGAAACGTTATTGTCACATAGGAAAGCCACATGTATATGCTTGCCGTGGACAGAGTTTGAACTTATTATTTATAACAATGCGATAGATCCATACATTATTTTTATTTCACTTGTATATTTGTTATTTTTCTTCACTTGTTATTGCTCTATAGACAAATTGATATTGCTTTGTATCCAAAGTAATCCAACACGTAAAATGCATTTCGAAATTATTGAAATTTATAGTTGCATATATTATGATGCATTCCGAAAATGTATTGACTGAAACTCTATAATTTACATAATATATGTGATAGAAGTTTAATAATTACTGTCAATTCACTTCAAAACGTACCAAAAACGTTTTTAAGATTTTTTTTAAATGTCTAAGGTTGATATTCGTGGTCGATTCTGATATTAAGAGTTTTATGTACAATCTTAAGATGTTTAAAATCATAAGTCGTGTTAGCAACTTAAGACTACTTAAGACCTTAAATAATAATTTAAGAATCGACTATGAATACCTTAGTGTTTTAGACATATGTCTGACAGATATTCTTGGAATTTTTAAGACACTTTTTTTTAACACGTTATCTGGAAACTGATACTTTTTACCACAATTTCGTACGCGGCAGATATGTAACCATGCAGTGGCGGTTTGTATGTAGCAGTAGCGTTAGTACTCGATGGGTATGCTTTGTGGCCACCCGTAGCTAAAAGGGTTAGGTGATGAAGTTGCATTATATAATTGCAAAAGAAATTTAAACTATGAATTATTTTGTATATTTTTTTTAATAAAGATATCAAAAATAGAGAAGTTTCTCTGCTAAACTTACATGTTTCATGTATAAATTATTTAGCAAAAAGTAACATAGAATTTTTCTTTGTTAATACAATGCTTTAACTTTAAGATACAATAAAAGGTTTTACACAATTTTCTGTCATTGAAAAACTATACGACAGTATCAAATATAAAAAGATTAAATTAGGTTGTACTACATGAAATCGTTGATACTCAGTTTTTTGAAATTGATAAATTGATAAAATTGAAATAAAATATATTTCAGGTAATGTCATTCATAGTTTGCAACAGTACTGAGTATATGAACTTTATAATTTTCTTTGTTTTTATTTATCTTTAATACTTGAGATGTAAAACGGTTAATTGAAATTAGCCCGGTAATTATTTCATCATTTTTAAAGAAATTAATTAGAAGCAATTAATTACAAATATTATATATTTTTACGTTTCGGCACAATTTTTTGATCATCTTCAATAGATTCAGAACGACGATCATTCGAGTATATATTATCATCACGTTATTCGATAAACCAACTCCAAAATATAAAGATTACACGAAATGTATTTCACATGCCTCTCAAAAATTGCATTCAAAAAAATTACATTTTCAATTACGAAATGTAGTCACAATTTAAAATCAGATAAAGTAATTGTATACGAAGGCGCTAGTATCACAGTTACGGCCTATACTTTCGAACGTCAAAAACCTCATTCTTTGTATTTCGGAGATGATTCGCCAAATAACGTGATGCGAATATAACCGAATGATCGTTGACTTTACTTATTGAAAACAGACAAAAAATTAAACCGAAGCGAATAAATAAATATACTGTAATGCTTCAAATTAATTTTTTAGAAAACTTCGCAATAATTACCGCGCCGATTCCCAGCTCTTTTACACTTCAACTGTTGATAATTTCTAGGAATTCATAGATTTTAATTTATTTATTTTTTTCATAGAAATAGGCTGACAATTTTAAAAAATTGACAATATAAGATGAAAGAATTGCGAATATTTTTTATACGGATTTGAAATTGCAACATAATACAGTTCAAACATGTAAACATTGATGTGATTCTCGGGAAAGCTCCGTTACTGAAGCTGACTATTTGACGGTGATTCGACAAACTTTCTGAAAATCTAAATCTTTAAAATGAATTTAGATAAACTCAAATCCTAATGCTAATAATGCATATATTAATCATAACTTGTTTCTAAAATATGATATTTTTATTTTGGCTAATAAAGAACAACAATTTCTTATGGTACAATCTAATACATGGTAAATATTTTACATGTGCAATATATGCGATAAACTATGCTGATGTACCTAATCAGACAGAATTATTTTGCGAGATAACAAAAAATACTTGAAAAAATTATATTGATAAAATTATATCTAATATTGTTATATCTTAAAGGATTTATTTACTCTGACTGTTCGTATGCCGAAGAAGATGAGCGATGAGTTTGAGTATAAATTAAAAAATGTAACACGTTAAAAATGTATTTTTTTAATAAAAAGTAAAAGCTATTTAATTTTTTTTATCTAAAATGTTTACTAAATTTTGAAATGGATGCATAACTTCTAAAGATTTAGTCTGAAGTGATAAAATCAAATATTAAAAAAAAAATGTATTATTTACTGGAATCTGGCAAAGGCAGATATTGGCTTTCTAGAGAATACGAGCTGTCGAAAAGAAAAATTAATATTTTTTATATCATATGTCATAATGTCATCTCGGTTCAATACATTCTTAAAAATATAGTCTCTCATCGAACGCTCAGGACAGGTAAATCCTTTTAAAGAGATTACAATTCTCGAATCAAGCAACGTTGATACGTTGATGAGAATAATATCTCGAAATTTTTTTGTTGAGAAGAAACTTATTTTGTAATTGACAAAATATCAAAACGCCACTTGCTAAGTTGTACATACATTTTGTATAAAGAAAGTGATTAAAAAATATATTCCTTTATACTTAAGAAATGTTTTATAAAGATATTATCATAATATACATGATATCATATGCAATTTTTATTTATTATCATTCCTATTAGTTACATTACATGCAAATAAGTATTTTTCATTCTTTATGTTGTATACTTTATATATCTTCATATTATCCTATTATTCTTTAAATATATTATATCATTCTTTATATTAATTTATATAAACTTTTTAAATAAACGGCCATCTGTATCGAATTTGTAGAAATGATCATCGCGAGCGACTGATAATGAGGTATTAAATACTGTATATGTGTGTATGATAATAAAAAGAATAATGTATATATATATGAATATTTCCGTCGCAATCCGAATGTACAAGTAAGAACAGTTGGGCATTGTATTGTTCTTCATCTGTATTGTATTCATCTTCGTTTTTAAGCGGGTCTCTTAAAATATTTAAATAAATACATTTAGACGATTTTGTTCCTTTGTAGTCGAAAACAGAGCGAAATTCCGAGACGTTATTTACTCTCCGTTTCACATGTCTGAGAATATTTTAGCTTCATTAGTTCCTCGAATCCTCGCCATTTAAAGAAAGAAAAATAATATAGATATATGTTACTTTTTTCATTCGACTCTCTCATTGCAATTTCCCTACCTATTAGCACTGTAAAATACGTTGGGAGTGTAGTCAAGCAAAACAGTTGACGAAGCAGTTGATTTGCTCGACAAGCAAATATTGTGCTGTGTGGCTAAACACCCGTCTACACATCGTTTAATATCTATATGCTTTTGATATAATATGAAGTATAATTTTTGTTGCAACAAAAATTATAATTATGTACCAGAAATTATCGTCATTATTAGAAAATAATTCTAGTATATTGCCATTATCGACATACGGCTTTCTATCAATTTTTGATAATATTTATATTTCGTTTTGTAATTTTGAAGATATTTCCAATATGTAATTGAAAATTAATAAAATATAAATAATATGAGTTAGCATAAATTAATCAATAAAGAGCACTTATATTGGTACTTATTTAGAAAAGAAATAGAGGAGCAGGATTAATTATTTTACCAGCTTGAACGCGCTCATTAATTTCCGGAAAAGGCGCAAGCGCGTTTTTCCAGCTCCGCAAAGCTATTGAAAGCTATACGTTTTCTTAGGCCGGCCGCTTGATGGCAGCTCTTATGTTAAAAATGTCAAGTGCAGAAGTTGTGTCATGGTGATCATGACATTCGTGGTGCCTACGGTCTGTCTAATTATCCTCGATAACCTCGATTGACAGCGCATTCATTTCGGCGATCGACACGTAAACACATTTTTGTAATCTTCAACGGTAACAGTTCTTGTATACTCCACACTCGAGACACTCTTATTAAGCCGATTATCCCGTGAAATAATTGCTCATTGTCGCCGTAATACACTCTTGCTACTCTTGGTTATGTCATTATATATCCAAGTTAGTTACGTATGTCAGAATATAATTTTAGTTTTTTATGATTTGTAGATTCGTCTTCACGTTTTACACACGTTCGCTGATCCATGTTATGATCGGTTTCACCATTGACAAATCTTTTATATTTCAGCACAGCGGAATGAGTTCCAGCATCCTTACCGCAAGAGCAGAGGAATATTTTTATAGCATAAATCCTCTAGCACGAAGGATCGGCGAGGATATAACCGCAACGAAGGAAGCCTACGAAGGGCTATGGAACACCTTGAGCACAGCGGAGCGCAACCAAGCCATCAACGAGACCATAATTCAGCCCGAGGTAGCCTTGAAGTACACCCTGAAGAAGGTCGAGTTAACAAAGGAGTTACCTGAGTGGTTTCCAAAACTGCGCATACAAACTGGAATGAAATATGTCATAGACGAAACCGGTTCGGTGAGTATGGCGGTGTCATCAATACTTACGGGAAAAATTAGATAAACTGATCGCTTCTTCATCGCATTACAGACACTACGATGGCGGGATGAGCACTCCGCGCCATTTTCGTTTATGACTCAATCACAGATGAATCTCAGTCTGATGGACTCCAACGAAGATGCGAAGTCTAGGTCAATGAAAATCCACTTCGGAGAACTGCCGCATTTTTCTAGCCCTGCGAAAGCGCAAAGAAACAATTGTTCGCCAAATGACAGTTACAGCTCCGCACATCAAGTCAGTTGTTATCCATCGGATTGTTTCACCAGCGATTTGTTCGACAGCGATCAGTGCAGTGACTTACTGACAAATGTAATCGACAGCGAACACTCTGACAGTATATTTGCTAAACTCATCAATAAGACCTCTTTATTGAAGTTACAAGGTAACGTCGAGGACGATCTGGAGAGTTTGGTGAGAGATTCTGATACAGACAAGAGTCAATCGAATACTACCTTAGTGGTGACGTCGCGAACGAAATCGAGCGACATAAACGAATCGACCGCTCTATTAGAGACACCCAGTTCCTACAGTAGCTTTCAGTCATCCCAACTGAATCAAGAAGAGGAAGAGAGGAGTATACCAAAGACTGGATTTGAGTTTCTTGATAATTGGTAAATTTATTCCGAAAGAAATTTTTCCGATTTAATTTTTTTTTAATGCTCTTCTATTAAACATAAAAGATTTCCATAATATCCTAAGAACGTACGTTGCATATGCTTAGCAGATGTTTGAATATATTTAATTATTCTATTGCTGTATGTTGTATAAAAATATGCATGCGCGTGTTTTATATAAAAGTATATGCGTGAAAAGTGACAGATTATTTTTGCAGTGTAGAGTCTTTGATAGGATTTTTTATGCTCATATTTTACAATGCCTTGTCTTATTTCTACTGGATACCATTTACAATTTACATGACCGCTCAAAGAGTTAAATAATGAAGACTGAAGAAGAATAATTTCTCTCTCCAAAGATATGTTCCCAAAGATTTTAATTTTACTTAGATAGACTGTATGATATAATATATCCTTTGAATAACGTAACCAATATTGAATAATGTAACCAATTTAGATTTGTTATCTTTTTATAGCATTATATTTTACAGTATAAAAAAAATATATAATACGTGCTTACGAACGGATAGATATGCTTAATGCATGTCGCAAGTCTGGTCACTATTTACAAGCAATAATTTATCTCTTGAAGATTTATATAAATTGTCTTGTCGATTGTATGCCAATATACGTATATCACATGAATGCGTTATAACTTATTTCTCATACATATATATATACTTATATATGCCTATAATATTAATTATGTTACACGATTAATATTAATTATGTTACACAAATCACGATTAGCTTTTACGATTTCTGAAGAATTTCTCGGGTTCAATTCAACGTCGTCTTCACGAAAAAGCCTCGATAGTTTTTCAATTTTTTTCACGAAATTCGTTGAATTAAGTAGTCCAGAATTCGGACAACCAAACTGAAAACGTCAGATAAAAAAGTATTTTTATTTCTTTTTATTAACGTAAACACCGTACAAAAGAGAAAATAAATTCTTTTTATGAGGGCTTAATGATTTCAAACTTAAAACGATATGAATTATACATATATTCACTTTACATATTGAATAAAAAAAACCCCCAAAAATTATATGAATTATATATATTCGCTATATTACGTAATTAATGCTGTTATACCTTCAGTACTAGGCGATTGTATGATCGTTATATTTTCGTCACCGCTGCCGTTCTGGGCGATTTCAGAGGTCCGATAATAGTCGAGCACATTCTTTCTTGTTTGGGAGAACGAGCAGATACTTCGTAGTTCCGTCGTTTTCATTATTTGTTTGGCATCTGATTTACGCTCGAAGGGTGACATCAGTATCAGACGCTTCGACGATGCTCGAACTGAGACTTTAAAAATCAATACGGCTGTGATTTTGAAATCATTTTCTGATTATAAGGTCACGTTGATATATTCGGTGGTATTATAAAAGCCAGAATTCATCGCAGCGTATTATATGGTAATATTGTAAAGAATAATGACGTTAATAAATATTTACTTTCTGCCGTGGCGGCTATGATTGGGAGGCTGCAGCATTCACAACATTAAATGGCAAAGTAACATTGCGAATAGTATAAGATACAGCTTGTAGATACCAATTTTTGAATACTCATCATTCTCAATATATTTTAATATAATATATTTTTATTTAATATTTTATTGAAAGGAATTTGAATTGCGATTAAAAAGGAATGTTTAGACACACCATGCTTAAAAAACGTCTTTAAAATGTTTTCTTAAAGGACGCATGTCCCGATTTTGGATATGTGTTATCTGGGCAAGTTCTAGTGCGGTTAAAAAAACAGATCTAAGGTTTTATCTAATATAATACGATTTTATTATATATACATTAAAGCCTTCTTGTGTGCCTCGGCTATACTTTATTTCTAATACTCTTCCGCAATGTTTCTTTGCTGACAAATAATAAACTCACCACTCGTATCAATTTTATCTCCTGATGCACCCTTACATATGTTTTTCGATTTCTTCGACGATCCGTCAGTCAATGCAGATAAACTTCTCGAAGCGATTGCTGTTTGATGATTGCTGTCATTAAGTGACGATCCATGACAGACATTCGGCAAGGATTTACCCTTCGGCTTCAACAGAGTAATTGGCGGAAAACAAGAACCTGGCAGATCGTTATTTAAAATAAAAATTTTTATCGAAGAGGTAGTAAATACACACATACATACATACACGCGCGCGCACACACACAGATGTATGCTATCTCCAACATTATATAGCAATTTTAGAAACGTCATATTTACCCTTCCTTCCAGCATGTCTTTTCACGGGACTGCAATGTCCATATTCCGAACATCTTTGTCCATCGGTACAATCCTGATCCATCGAGCGGTTTTCGTCTCCTGTGTTGCTATTTCTGTACTGTTCCATCGCTTGACGTTCCAATTCCTGCAATATCGTAATGTAAATTAGCATAATAATATTCCATGTGAAAAATATGAGTGAGTAAAAACGAATCGAGAAAAACGCATTTGTAAAGCTAAATATCCTATTTTTGGCGTTCAGAACTGATTGAAAAATTAATCCTTTTTGCAATTTCATTCTGCAAAATGTCGTTTGATAATTATTGGAACGAAAAAAATTGCAATAATTTAGTTTATAGGTGTTAAATCCCTAATGTTGAGAAGTTCAGAACTATTATATATCATATATTTTTGCTAATTTCTTTCGAACTTTTTCCTTTCATTTATTTTTTGCAGGAATATCTAGCGAGATTAATATTCAAGTTTGAATTGTTGCCTGATATTTGAGCGCTAATGATTCCTCCGAATTCCTGTATTGTTCCATAGCTTGTTGCTCGAGTTCATCGTACCTGAAACATTTAAATTGCAAATGAGAATTTAATTCGAAAAATATGACTGTCCCATCAAATCGATTAAAGTCTTAAAAAGTTTTAAATCGGCAAAATGTCACTGTACCTCTTCTCGAAGACGTTATCCAGGATCGCCTCGTTCGAGGCATTCGCCAGGACGTCCCTATAGAGCGGCCGCTTTGTCCTCTTGTCCTTCTCCTCAGTGTCCGTAGGCCTATATCTTGAGCTCTCGTTTCCGAAGAATCTGTCCTTCGACCCACATCTTGAGCTCTCGTTCTCAAAGATTCTACCCTTCAACTGGAACGAAGTTTCAGACATTCTTTGCTGGCATTGAGGCTGCGATTCGGCGGCCGTTCTCCAGCCGGTATCGGCTTCTCTGCAATATTCGTATTTCTCCTCGAAGCTGCGCAACTCGGACACGAGCGCGTTCACGGTCACCTCCTTCGTTTTCTTCGCACAGTGATCTTTGTCGAACCACTGTACCTGCACATTGTGACTGGATGTTTTCAGGCTCTGTCTGGACTCCAGGAGGAAAGGCTGCTGAACAGTGGGCTTCGTGTAGCCGCGTCGCGTCTTGATGCTGTTCTTCGTCAGTAGTATGAGATTGTTGAAGTCGACCCCTTGACTCTTCCGCTTCAGCATCGGCTCCTGGTACAGTTCCACTGGTCGCTGGTACACGGGTATGGGTGTTGTACTCGGCTGGGTATAAGGCAAAAACTTCTCGTACATCTGCGAAGTTACGATCCAAATGCATTTCACTTTTTCTACGCGTAGCTTTGTGGAAATTTTTAATAAATAACGCGCGCGCGCATGAATATAACATTATCAATCGCAATTTAGGATAATTTATGATAATTGTGATGTAAAGTTGTAATAAGTTCCTTTTTCTTTCTCTTTCTTTTCAAATATATAAATGGTAGTTATATTTTAGAACAATTAATAAATTCAAAAAATTTTTGTGTTATTATAATGTATATACAATTACATACATAAATTCTTTTAATATTAAAATATTTTACATACAAAAATCTTTTTATATAAAAAAAAAATACCTGCAAAGGACGATGGGCAATCGCAGCATCGTGAATCGGTTGCAGCGGCGTGCAGATTGACAGTGGTGACGAGGAAGACGCTGTCAATTGTAATTGCACCGGTGGTGCCATTCTCTGAATCCATTCTTGAGGCGAACGAAACATATTCGTCTCTGTCGCTGGTAATATGGACATTTTGGTATTCTGCATCGCAAAAAAATTGCATAGTTAAAAGGTTTTATATTTTAATAATTAGTTGTGAAAATCATTTTTGCTACATGGTAGCGATAAAAAAAAGTACGATCACGTCAAAGTTTTTTCTAACTACAACGAAAAGCTTATTATGATATTCACGAACATTTCGCATATTTGTTTTACAATCTTATGTTGCATTTTGTACGAGCTATTGATCAATTTTTAACTAATCTCTTTTAGAAACGTCTAGCACGACCTACAAAGTTCACTTCTGCAAACTGTTGTACGTTTACCGGAAAAACAGTCGCCGCTGTCTCCTGTTGCGACCGGTTATAATCGTTCTGATAATTTCTGTCGTTCAACGACGGAAAGTAACGTAACTGACAAGCCTTGCGCTCTTTGCCGTTGTTCAAGCTGTAGGCTATCGGGGGTAAGTTCGATTTCGGGAAGAATTCCGGCACCTCGGCGCTCAGAACCGGTGGTAGCGACAGCGGCGGGGGTGGTAGCGGTGAAGGTGACAACAGCGGTTTCCGCTGGTACTCCGCTCTTAGGATCAAGGGTTGATACTGCAACGCGCAGTAGAACTGATGATGTTGAGCGACAGGGTGTGTCTGCCGCGCGACATGCGATTGCTGGCTTTGCTGATGGCATCTCTGCTGCTGCTGCTGCTGCTGCTGCTGCAACTGCTGCAGTTGCTGTTGCTGTTTCTGCTGCTGTTGCTGTTGCTGCTGCTGCTGAAATTTCTCGGGGTTCCATATGTCGCGCACAGTGTCGCTCTCGATGCGGAACTGTAGCTGCATTTCTGCAGCGGTCTCGACAATGTATCGGCGATGACGGGCAAACATTTTGATTGCTTTTCCTGATAGCACATAATATGTATAGTAAAGAGTAAAAAAAGCATGAGATGATAGCCGTTATGTCTTTAAACTCAGATGCTAGTTTTGAGATGCTGAATATTTGCATTATTCTGTATATCTTAGTCTCTTAATAAGAATCTTGTCAAATCATGTTTCTAATATTTTGAAATTAAAGACTGATTTTAATCCTTTTGTTGTAAAAGATGTTTAATCTAAATAAGAATAGATTTTCAAATCACTTTTAATAATTAATTAGGGAGGATTATTGCTCTTAGAGAAATTTAATATTTAAAGTAAGTATTTAATTTACGTACTAAATTTCTGTAAGGGTGCTAATTATAATTATTACAGTTATGGATTCAAATATTTTAGAATGTTTATTACACTAACATATAATATATAATTATATAAACAAATCTCTAAATAAAAATATTCTGTGAAACGATTGTAATAACTATAGCTTTATTTTTCAGTGCAATGCTTTATTTTTACAAGCATCTAAGTTTTTGTGAGCGTCGTTTGTAAAGAAATTAAAGTAGTGTTTGCTTACTATACATCTTTGTATAATAAAGCAGATGCTTACAAAACATTCAATTCCTTGTGCTATTTTTTTCTATTTAACATGTTATTCTGTTTTTAATGGTTACAATTAAAATAACTATAATTTATTAACATAATCTGCTCTGTTATGATTAAATACATAGTATCAAGATAATATGTAAATGACTAATAAATAAATAAAAATTATGTAATTAATAAAATGATTTATAGTTTAACATAAATAAGAGTATAGTTTAATAAAAATAAATAATGACCAAAACATAAATTATAAAAGGGGAAATCATTATTTCGTCTATTTTTGTATGAATTATTATTATTACGGATTTACAGCATAATTAATTTATATTCTCGTTAACGTGTAAAATTACTGCTTACCGCCCTCGTCCGATTTATAAGCCGAAGGTAATTCATCGCGCAATCCAATTTTTCTACTCCCTTTTGGACTGGTTTTTTGACGTCGCTTTTTCGAGCTCTCATTCCAGTCTGATTGGAAGTTCGAGCAAGCGACGGCTTCATTATCCCTCCTCGCGGCATTACACTTTAGTATTTGTATTGCTGAGCTTTGCAAATTGAACGTACTAATTAACAAGATATTAAAATCCAGTTGCGAGTCAATATACTTATAGGTACATTAAAATTTTTTATGTCTGCGATAAAAACGTTGCTGAGATGAAAATTAAACATCAATTGATTTTAATTAATTGCAATCTGTTATAATAATTATGATATTATAGTTTTAATCGCTAATTAAGGATTATTAACTGATTTATATCACCCCTAATTAAATATTATTGTGTAGAAGCGTCATAATTCGCGATAATTTCTTTATCACGAAAATTTTTTAGAGGAAAGAACTTCGCGGAACGTAAAAATAACACGGAAGTGCCGAAGCGAACTAACGGTTCCCGATGCAATCGCGTGCAGCTCGGCGAGATTAACCGGGCGAAGTGTTCTTGAACTTCAGGAAGCATCCACGGTTCCACAGCCTCCGTAGCCGAACGGAAGTGGCGAGGCACGCTACCCGACGATTTACCGTCGTCTGGCCTGTACATTCTCTCATGCTGCTCGTCGTACTCGTAATTACCGTATTTCGCCAAGCGCGATTCGGAGATGACGTCTCGAACGAGTCTTGGACGATAATCACCATATTCCTCGTACTTCGCGGTTACTTCGCAACTCTGGCATTAAACGCGCGCGATAAGTTATCATTATGTCAAAATAAATTTTCTTTCCTCTCATCGCGAAAAGTCTGTAATGTTATGGTGCGCGCGATAGCATTTTTTTTTTGTACTTTTAACAATTCACAAACGTATTTTTTTGCTAGCTTCGATAAATGAAAATATGGGAACATGTGTGTGATCTCGATCCAACACAATTTTCATTATCTTTCCAAGAGAAAACGATATATGAAACTCCTGTTGTCTTTAGAAATACTGTTTCAACGACAGAAATATATAAGATCCTTTTTTCTCTTACGCATAAAATGTCCTCAGACAATGATAAACGACGATGATATTGATAAGAAAGATGTTTGTATGTGAGGATACATATATGAAATGCGATATTTTGATGTGGTTATCTATGGGGTAAGTATCTGTCTCACTTGAATCCAGAGGGAATGATTTAACTTTCGGAAAGGATCCTCCGGATCGAAGGTCCAGGTCTTGTCGGCGATCAAACTGACGTTTGCGTAAGCGCTATTCAAAAGCTCGTCGTCGTATGACGGAAGTGGAGATATCATTATCTGTACATTATAACCGATTGATATCGGATTCCGGTAGCCCGATGTGCCGCGAAATCGGCGAATCTTTTGCGTTCGAAAACACAAACTTTCTCGTGTCTCTCGTTTACGAAACGACCGAAAGTACGGTCTCAAATTAACAAGTAATAATAGATGCTAATACGTATATAAATAAAAAATAATTAGTAAGTAATTTGACGCAGATGAAATCGATCAGTTTTGACAGTTTTGACAAAAAAAAAAAAAGTATCGGAACTTATGCAAAAGATGAAGATCGAAGCCGGCGCGATCGCGATTTATCGATGTTGTAACAGATGAGCTTTTTTCAAACACCTCCGCAGATCGATGCAAGATCTTGTAATTTGCTTATCGCACTAAATTTCAATTAAATTTATTTAAAAAATGATTTGAATTTATTTAAGCTTCTCTTTTGATTTTCTCTATTTGCGAATAATTATTAATATTTAAACGTAAAAATCATGCGATACAAAAAAACAGAAAATAATAAAATTTCGTGTAATATACGATTTTCGTACACGCTACATATTTCGCTACAGATTTTCACAATGAAATATCAAAAAATCCTGCTCCAATTTTACATAAAAATTTAAAGCAGGGGAAAGGGAAATAAATACAGCAACTTTTACAAATCTGTCATCTATTTTACGATCGATAATAGAATTAGCAGGCACTCCCTTTTGGCACTCGCACATGCATTCGCACAATTTGTACAATTCACACGCGCGGTTTTATTTACAAGATGAAATCGGACCAAGGACAGATCTCATAATTTACAAAGTAAACGCGCAAGGCGATCGTCGAGAAGGCCGCTTCTCTCACGATCGCGAAACGTCGTTTGGAGAAAGAGAGAGAGAGAGGAGAAAATCAGTCTGGTAGTCTGCGAACAGCAGACCACTCTCAGGAAAGCTACGATTAGACGCCGTTATTGTTCATCTAACGAACACGAATTGAGCACGAATTTGACACGCCCGCGAATCACGTTAGCGTCCGCATGGCATTCCACTACGGCGCGATAATCCCGTTCGTCAGCGGCGTTCCGTTATTCTCGCAGTACAAGAATTGCGAAGTAGCTGTTACTTGTAATGTGGGAAGACGAACTCTCTCCCTTCTCTTGTCGGGCATTCTTCTAATCGAAACGCCGTGTTTTTCGGTCGAATGGCTGAATGCCACAGATGCTACGGTGCACTTCGTACATAGAAAACGAAGAAAATATATCAAAACAATCGCTGTTTAAAATATTCTAGAATCAGATAATAATAACCGATGTAATTTCCGGATAAATTTAATCTGGACTTATAAGACAATAGATTTTATGATTTTTTAAAAATAATAATGATTCTCTATTATCATAAAACAAAAAAGATATAAGGACTAGTTTCGTATGTTGCAGCATCAAGATCCAAAGTCAATAGGAAAACAGCGTTTCTACTTATTGAAATTGCAATTCCAGTAAGTATAGTATAATAAAAGTTATCAGTAATTATTTATTAATATTTTTATCTTTTACCATACCTTTATTTTTAAGTTACTATTAAAAAGCCAATTTTCAAGACGTATAAAAGATAAAAATCTAATTCGCGTATAAATATATACTATAAATATCGTACTATAAATTAATTTATAAAACATGCTGCAGCTACATATCCCGGAAATCTCTTTAATTTGCAATTTCAATAAATAGTCCTTTAAGTTTTTGTAGTAAAATATTAAAAATCATTAATGATTAAAATATTAATCATCAATGATTAAAATATTAAAAATCATGAAATATGTGCCTACATGCCACTTAGCCATTCAAGCAATAATTACGATATGTGCGACTGCATCGAGTGTGTCATCTGGCACGACAGCTTAGAATATATGTATACAAAAGTCGCTAGTTAACAATTATAATCGGACTGCCTCGATGCCCAGTCGCACATCTCTCCGTCTCACCGGCGGCGGATAAATCGCCGTAATTAAAAATGGCATTCAACGGTTCTCGCGTATTCCGTATTTATAGCGTGCGATCGCCCGAAATGCGCGAGACGTGCAAATTTATCGTCAAAATTTAACGCTACTAAAATTAATATTATTCATAATATTAACATTGATTATCTAAAATTAATTAAGATGATCTAAAATCTTAATATCAATATTATAAATAATATTAACTTCACATGCATATATGACTCTTTGAATTGAAATACATGATATGATATTATATCATAAGAAGATTTTTCCAGTTAGATCGATCGGTTAATCGAAGGATATTGCACGTTTCGCGCGAGCGAATCATTTTGATTTAGACACGTGTCATTTAGTATTTACAAAAAAAATATCGCGAGATAAAGAGTATGATATAGAAAATAACGAATCTCTCCCGTGCACGGGAGAAATACAGACGAGTCTCTCCTCGAGGGACGTTCCTCTCTACGTTTTATGGCAAGATGATCACGCGTTCGACGCGGCATGCACCTCGCTGCAACCCCTAAACGTTGCAACGACTTTTCACAACACTCTTCGCCGGCACTTTTCTCAAACGTGTCCCCGTATGACTCAAAACCACGTTCGATCATTCAAGCCCGCGAGACCGGATGTCGGCTATTTATACTATCGATTTACAAACGTTCGACTAATCAAACCAAACGAGCAGCAAAAACAATTTGATAACATTCCCAAGTATAGATCTCGCGCGTTTCCTCAAGGCGAGTCTCTGTTTCCCCGAAATAAATTCTCACGGTCACTACATAAAACTACTATTGTTCACTAAATTGTCCCGGCATCACATCCGAGGATCCGTTTCAAACGTATTCCTCGGACGGCTTGGGGATATTCGCCGGTAATCGGGGTACCCGACTGGTGCTGTCGGGCAGCTCGGCGATGTCGATGAACACGCCGACGAGGCTCTCGAAGTTGGGCCCCCAGTTGAGCAGGTAGTCCCAGCTGAGAGCGTCCTCGGCGGCGGTGGTGGTAGTGGTGGTGGGTGAGCCGTTAGTGGCGTGGCTGCCGTAGAGGAGGCCGCCCATATGGGTCGACAGATCGTCGTCCGAGGCGACGAGGGTGCTGAGGGAGCCACGAAATGAGCTGTCGAAGCCGTCGTAGTTGCCGACGTTCGGCGGTAGTGGCGGCTTCGTTGACTGCGACGACTCGACGTTGCTCCTCCCCTGCGGGCTGCTCCTCTCGTCGTCCTGTTTGGCGAACAGATTGTCGGATCGCTTATCGCCCACCAGTGACCCGTTGTCGTACTCGATCTCCGAGCACGTAAAGCTATCGTTGCCGCTCTCGTCGGTGGTCGACGAGTTCCGCCGTTCAAGCCTCTCCACGGGGGGCGTGTGACGCCGGTGGTGATGGAGAGGCCCGTGCGCGGGCGGACCCCTGGCCTCGCTGGAGGAGCTCACGGCGTCCAGAGTGGAGACCAGGCTGGACGTTCTCGGGCGAGAATTGAGTCGCTCGATCTCCTCCGCCGTGAGGCCCATCGGGCCCGATGACACGTTGTTCACCGAGTTTTCATTGTTGGACTGCGGAGCCTTTCTACTGGCGGTTGAGCCTGACAGCTGACTCATGATGGGCGAGTTCAGACTCCTCTCGCTATTGGAATTCAGCGCGTCCTTGCCGACACCACCGGATGAGGACGTGGTGGCCAGTAACGCACTCTGCAGCGGTTTCCCGCTGATGTCGTGCAACGTGAGAATCCGCGGTTGTTGCGCAGACAACTCGCTACTGGGAGATAATCTCGCCAGAGGGGTGCTTTGGAGCAACTTGGGCGCCGGTCCGGGTGGTTGGTTCACGTTGGGCGGTGGCATAGCTCGTGGTGGAAAGGGTCCCGTATGACGATGTTGTTGTCCCGTATGCTTGTGATGATTACCATAATTACCTGTGCGAGAAATTAATTTCTATTTAAGTCAATTAAATTATTTTAAATATAAATATATATATTTTTCTAATAATATAAAGCATACTTTAAACTTAAAAATATGTTCTTGTTTTACACTAAACTTATAAATTTTTTCTCACTAATAAAAAATTTAGTCTTTTCTCACCTATAGGAGGCGGAGTGGCTTTGTACTTTCTCATGCCGTCGCGATAACCCTTGTAATGATACACGATGTCGATGTCGCTGGGGGCGATGGAACTGGCGTTCTCCAGATCGTAATGTTCCGGAATGTCGGGTTCCGGGTTATGCTCGTGCGGATGGAGAGAGATCTGCGTGGGCGGTGGTAACGGTGGGTGCTCGTCGCGGATGGGAGGCGACTTGGTAACTTCCCGCTCGATAATATCCGGTCGTTGCGGTCGGTGCTCGGTGGTGGAGTTGATCTCGCGCTCCTTGTACTTCTTCGAGATCAACTCAGGACCCATGTGACCGACGCCGCGCAGATCCGACGTGTCGGAGATGTACGTGTTCTCATGACGGGACATGAGATTGTCGTTTCCGGGGCCGACCAGAGAATTGCCGGTCATGATGGCGTTGGTATTCTTGTTGACAACCGACGGCGCCGACTTCTCCTTATTCTGCCGGCGCAGTCGGAACACTATGAAGCTCACCAGAATGGCAATTAACAGGATGACGAAGAAGACGATGACCAGGGTGATACCAATGCTGAGAGGGTCCGCGGCCGCCGCCGCACTGATGCCGATCGGTCCTCTGCATCCGGTGCTCACTTTGCCATGATAAAGCACATTTTTGAAGATGGAACCGGAACCGTTGAACGGTTGCACCTCGTTGTTGATGGTAAAGTTAGCCAGACAACCTTCGAAGCTCCTAGAGCCAGCGCTGTGAGCGTAATAGAGGTCCTGGCTGACTCCGCCAATCGACAAGACGGTCAAGTACGGATCGAGGAAATCGTGAACTCCCGCCGAATCCAACTCGTCACCTGTTAGAATACCATCGACCAATAGTCTTATTCCTCGTGCGTAGGCATGGAGAGTCAGATTATGCCAACGTCCGTCGGCGAGACTGCCATCGATACTGATCGACATGTTCACCGGTGATCCGAGCAGGGACATGTAAATCAACTGGCCGCTGCGAAGCTGAAAGCACAGGATAATCGCATTAATTAGATCACCAAATGGAACTCATTTATTCATCTACTTTATTCATTATTTATTTTACTCGTTCTTTATATTATTTATCTAAAAGTTAACAACTGACGAAAAAGGATATTTCTCAGAATGCATTCAATTTATGATTAGTTTAAATTGTTTAAAAAATGATTAATACTTTTACTAATTCTTAATAGTACATACAGTTAAGAAAATCATTGAAAATTATTCACTTTTCTTAATAATTTTAATATTTGTTAGAGAACAAACAGATAATTAAAAATGCATCTCACCTCTATGGATGTAAAATGCTTATTTGTTGCGGCGTATATCAAAATACCATCAGACTTCACAGTTCTAAACATCAAGCCGATTGTCTTCAAGGATAAAGGATTCGTTATGAAACTCGTGTCCTCGATGAGACTGCGCTTAACGCGATTCATGTGCCATGTCGTTGAACCTCCGTAGAGATACTCCAACAATTGCATTCTTCTGTGTTTTTCCGAAATCTGCACAAACAATGTCAATTGCCACAATTTAAAATTTAGAAATAAAATTAGTATATTAAGAAAGTTAAATAAACATAACACTTCAATTAACATGAACATTTTAATGGAACTTCTAGAAATCTATTATCTCTCATTTAATATCATATCATCTCGTATTTAATATTATTTCAATGACATAGTGTTGTGGTAAATATGCTCATTTAATATTATTATTTCAATATTATATTTAACGTATTAATAATATTTAATATTAAATAATTGCAATAATAATAAAGTATTATATATGGAATTAATATAGGATTTACTAATTTTTACCTTGAACTCGATAAATCCTCCCTCACTCAGCGTGACGGGTTCCAAAGCACCGTGACAGTTGGGCGCTATCAAGGATCCGCACTGGCACATCACTTGATGCCACTTGTCGTGACATTGGGCGTTCACGGCGCAAACGGATGCAGTGTCTTTCTCATTTCTCAGACAAGGATTCCGCTGCGATCTGACGCACGTGGACTTCACACCACGCGACGCGATCGGATTCGTCAGATTCAAGGCCCTTCCGTTTATCGACACCGAATGAACGCAACCCACAAAATCATCAGCGTGCACTTGGCCCGGACGTTCTAACACGGGATCGGCGTTCTCCAAACCGCCCAGTAGGAGAGGATTATTGTTGAAATTTAAGGTCCTGCGAATATACCGAATGTTAGCGCGTATTCTTAAATTTTTGAATTCATAGCGGTTCAAAATTTTAATTTTGTAAGATAGATCCCTTTAGATCACTCCTAATAATTATTTCTATTAACATCAAATAATCAAGTTTCACGATTTGAAATAAATTTTTTGTCACAATCATCTAATTTCACAATCAAAACGGTATAATAATGGTATTAATGTTAATGATGATAGAGTGTCTAAAAATTTAGACTTTTTTTTTAATTTCAATTTTTAGTTTTAAGGTCTCCTCATCCATAAAATGATTTCTTTTTATTGTAAAAATTTTGAGAATTCGTCGAAAAGATTAATAGGACACTTACCCAGTCGGACCCACGTCGTTCGCGGAGCAGGTACCATCGCCGGGTCTGCAATCGTCGCAGACGTCGCCGTGTTCCTTGCAAGTGGACACGCTGAGCGAAATAACTCTGCCGTTCCTGGTGGCGGTGACCTTGTGCCACTCGCCATCCGACACCGGCCGCTCCGTCTTGATGGTGACGGTGGTGATCGCGCTTCTGGCACCGCCGTACGAGAAGACCACTCGGCCGTCTATCAGCTCCAGCACGACAAAGTCCGAGCGGCCGCCGGTCTGCGACGCATAGTTGTACAGCAGCAACGCGTTCGGCTTTATGGTGGCGAACACGATGGTGATGTCGTTCGTGGTGGAGTCCAGCGCCGGGAATGCCATGTACGACAACTCGTCGAAACCGAAGGTCGAGCGCTCGCAGTGCCGGCCGTAGCGGCCGTCGGGACAGCTGCATCGATATCTGTGCGCGTAATAATTTTATATGTTATTTTCATTTTCGTACGAATATCGACACTTGATCATTGAGTGACGCACGTATATCGTGGCCGAGTGGCCACTTAAAGTTATATCTAAGGAATCAACAAACCCTGGTTTTTCTCCCACACATAAGCCACCGTACAAGCAAGGATTCGGTCGACAGGAATCAGTGACTGCTTCACAGTGATTGCCCCTGTAGCCTGCTCTGCAGAGGCAGAAGAAACTGAAGCTGTCCGGGCTCTTTCTGCACGATCCGCCGTTCCGACACGGATTGCTGGCACACGCATCACCTCTCTCGAGCTCGCACAGCTTGCCATCGCGATCAATAGGACAAGTGCATTGGAAATCGTATCCCAAACGGCGACACTGTCCTCCCTGTAAAAAAAAGAGGAAGAAACGCTTTAAATAATTTGCTTCATAAGTATAGATTTTTAAGAAACACGAGTGAATAACGAGTCTTGAAAAAAAATCAAAAAGTCTCAAAAAAAGCACAGAAAAATGTTCAGAAAATTCTATAATTCAAGAGTATATGTCTCGTATATACAGTTTAATATTTATCTGAAATAAATGATAAACAAAAACATTTGGCTAACGCTCGTTTACCAACATTATAAATTATATACATATATAGTTACAATAGATATACATATAATAATTCTAAGAATTATATAAATATAATTGTATATTCGGAAATATTCATTTTGCATATTTTTATATGCCATATATCAAACTTTGTCTTTTTTCACAGAATATTTTTATTACAAGTACTCACCAATAAACAGGGATTCGGCGAACACGGATCCTGTCTTCTTTCACATTTATCACCGGTGAAACCGTCCCGACACTTGCAGGTCATTTCGTGCAGCATCCTAGGCGACGTCAGGATCAGCGCCTGGCTGTCGGTGATCCTGGCATCGTCGTATATAGCCAGTCGGTCGCTGCAGCTGCCCCCGTTCTCGCACGGCATGTGTTTGCACGGGGAATAGCCGATAATGAATAAATTACCTTCGAGTAACGTTTGAATTTGATCTTGATTGCGCTTCAGCAGATCGGTCACTTCGTACTTCGTCCGATATCCTGAAGAAAATGAATAAAATATTGTGTTAAAATTATATGATTATTATTTAACATATATATTAATTAATGATACAGTGGCGGATCCAGAGAGTTGTTTTTTTTTTAGGGGGGGCGATATGACAAAATGTGAATATTTAGTTATTATCGTTAATGATGTTATTTTTAATATTTTTTATTATTAAAAAAAAATTGAATAAACATTATTTAATCTCGAATAATCTCCGATAATTTTCTTTCTCAATTCATTTAAAACCGATTTTTTTCAATATATATACGAAATTTGTTTGGAGAGCTCTGGGGGGGTGGGGTGGCAATTGCCCTCTCCGCCCCCCCCCCACCTTGTATCCGTTAAGTGATATGTTTAATTCAGGTAATCTAATATAAATATCTACCTAGTAAGACAATGTCACAGTGATGCAAATTAATACGAAATTTAATGAAATCGTTAAATCTTAATTAAGATGATCTTAATTGAGACTTGACTTTGTCGTAACAATCGTTACTTGGAATGAGTAAATATTTTTGAACTATGATACAATCTATGACTAGTTATTAGTTAATATTTTTATTCTAAATATATGGACGTATATCTGCACAACACAAGATATCCATTTGATATCCAGTGATATATTTTTAACTTACCTTGCGGAGATTCCACTGCCAAGTGAACGTTCAGATCCGGTCCGTTTTCACCAATGCTGAAAATGGTGAGTGTATCGCCGACATCGATTTTCTCTTGCAGGAGATCCAGGAGAGCCCGGTAGTATTGACTGAGGAAATCGTTAGCGGTCAATTTGAAAATTTGTAGGGTCACGCTGTTCTCGATTGTGGCGTTCGAGAAGATCAGGAACTCGACGGTAACCTTGGAGATCACATCCGGATGTCGTCCATCGTTGCCGGAGACGCTCAAAGAATAGCCTATTCCTGTACCCACACAATCAAGATATTAGTAAAAAAAAAAAAAAATATTCTCTACCAAGAGAATAGATCAATGTTAATAGATGTCAATGATGAAATATTCTAAGCCTCGATCGAAATATAACATTGTGGAACGCTTTTCAACAAATCAATACTTTCTTTTGAAATTAGAAATATAGATTAAAAGAAAAAGTTCTTTGTAAATCTCGAGAAATCTGTTTCGCGATTGATGCATAACGTGCCTGATGTAATCTTGTTGGTGTGCAGATCGCAGGCAGTGGGAATGGTGAGCACACGCGAACTCGAGCCCTGAAGAATCTTGCACGAGAAAGTTCCGATGATATCCGGATCGTTCGGATGCACATCGGCGATCTTTCCCAGCGGTGTCTTGCCGTTGAACGAGTGCACGATCACGTGCACCGATCTCGGCGTGGACGGACTGTCGTTCTGATCGGTGACGATTACGACGATGGTATGCTCGCTCTTCATTCGAGGTATGCCCGAGTCCTCCACTTCAATCTACGCATGCAAAAATTATATTTCATTAAATTCATTCAAATACTATTTATGTAAATCAAAATGCATTTTTTCAGCAATCCTATACATAGTGTACCAAGAGCTCTATCGAAAAATTTTTTATTTTTCATAAATTGATCCAGATCGAAAGAAAAACACTATTGCTAAGTTTTATAAATGTTAAGTTAAATAATCGTTGTTTTTATATTTAAAATTCTTTTGAAATATATCGAAAACTATAAAAGTTTGTCTGGACTTTTATCAATTATATGAAAATATATTCTGCGTGTAGATATATGTGTTACAAATTTTAAATTTTTCTAAAAATAAACCCTCTTCGTTTCTCTCCGATAGCAATAAAATAAAATCACTTTCATTGCAATCGAACGCGATTTAAATACCAACCATGAGATCCAACTGCGGCATCGTTTCTCTATCGAGACTCCTGGTGGTCCTCAACACGCCCGAATGCTTGTCCAAAGACACCATGTCGCTCTGTCTTCCTCCGATCAATCTGTAGGTGAACGGCGCGCCGTTGGGCGGTAGATCAGGATCAGTCGCGCTCAGGGTCATGATGCTGGTACTTGCCGGTTCGTTCTCGCTGATATAGCCGATTACTTCCGGCGGATCGAAGACCGGGCCGTTGTCATTCACATCCTGCAGCTCAATGTGCACCATTGCGGTGCCAGTTTCCGGCGGCGAGCCGGTGTCAATCGCGCCAATCGTTAGATCGTACGCGGGCACGGTCTCGCGATCGAGTTGCTTCGCCGTCTCGATGTCGCCGGTCTGTGGATCGATCTTGAAGGCCTGGCCGAGATTGCCGCCGATGATGGAATACGAGAACTGATTGTTCTGCGGCTTGATGTCCTTGTCGATCGCGCGGACCGTGAGCACGCGGGTGCCGTGGACGGCGCTCTCCGACACGCTGGCGTCGTAGGTGCTCTGCAGAAACTCGGGCGGGTCGTTACCGTCCTGGATGGAAATGATCACCTGCGCTTCGTCGGTGTCGTTGCCGCGTATACCGCCGGCGTTCTTCGCCATCACCGTCAACACCACGCGACTCTGCGTCTCGCGATCGAGTTGGCGCGACACTCGAATGATGCCAGTGTCTGAACTGATCGCGAAGCCGCGGTCGTTGGACGAGCCCACGAAGAGGTAGTACACGCGGCCGTCCTCGCCCGAGTCCTGATCGGTCGCCTGAACCGCGCCAACTGACGTGCCCACCTCGGCGCTCTCCGACACGTCCATTTGAAACACGGGTTGAATGAAATGCGGATAGTACTCGTTCACGCCGGTGATGTGCACCACCACGGTCGTGAAGCCAACCATCTGCGGGCTCGAGTCCGGATTCACCGCAACGATGTCGAGAGTGTATTCATTCGCCTCTTCATAATCGAAGCTAGTATCCGACGTGATGTCACCGGTGTTCTCGCGGATGCGGAAATGGTCTTTGCCGGTACCGCCAAGGATTTCATACTGCACTATGGCATACTTGGGCGAGTCAATGTCCCGAGCGATCACCTGGAATTCCGCGAAGAAAATATTTAAAAATTGCGATAAGTTTGCGATTAAATTATACGTACAATTTATTGCAAATAAATGTAAATGTGGAAGAATATAAATTAAAATTATTTATTGGTTTATTTAAAAGAATGAGATAGAACTTCTTGGAATGGCAAATTTATAATAATTTCCTCGTATTTATTTTAAGCTAAAGATTCAAATAATTTGTCTAGCTAGCTAATTGGTCAAAGATGCCAAAAAACAAGCAAGATTCAAAAATTAAAAGTTCAAAAATTTCATGCTGGACGTACCTTGTAAACGAAACTATCGGACGGAGAATTTTCCGGCAGGTACGCTTCATAGACACTTTGATTGAAGGTTGGAGGGTTGTCATTGATGTCGGTGACATGGATAGTTAAGACGGCTATTACTTGCTTCGGCTCGAATCCCAGATCCGTGGCGGTGATGTTCAACCGATATTCCTGCACCAGGTCGTAATCGAAAGGCTCGAGTAGAGTGACCACACCAGTGATGGAGTGCACGAAGAATTGATTCTTGTCGTTGCCGGCCGAAATTCTGTAGCGGATCATGCCGTTGGGCCCGCTATCGTTGTCCTTGGCGTAAACCGTCAGAAGCGTGGCATTGACCACCTCGTTTTCCGGCACTCTGACCTGGTAATTGTCGGCGGTGAAGACGGGCGCGTATTGGTTCTCGCCGGAGATCACAAGGGTCAGGTCGATCTCATCCTTCTGCGGTGGCACGCCTTTGTCGGTGGCGCGCGCTTTCAGCAGGAACATCGTGCCGACGGAAATATCTTTCAGACTCCTGCGTACGTAGACCCAGCCGGTTCGCTCCTCAATAGCGAACAGATCGCCCGTACCGTTTTTCTCCAGCGAGTAACTGATCTCCGCGTTCACGCCGAAGTCGGCGTCGTCGCGGGCGATCAGCTGTATAATGCGCTTGCCTATGTCGTAATTCTCCGGCACCGGCGACAGATAGGACCTCTGCTCAAAATGAGGCGCGTTGTTGTTGGCATTCACCACGCTCACGTGCACCACCGTCCTCGAGGACATCGGTGGCTTGCCGTTATCGGTCGCGACCACTGTCAGCGAGTACAGATTCTCCGGCGAGGACGGCCGATGAGTGTGCTTGTAGCGTATGGTACGCTTGCTGAAGACGTCGCCGGTCGCCGGGTCAACAGTGAAGAGATCGGACGGTTGCAACAGGCTGTAAGATATAACGGAGTTCGGTCCCTGTTTGTCGCGATCGGTAGCCGCGACCGTGCCGACATGCGCCACCCGCGGTTGAAGCTCGGGGAAATGGAAATGATAGGTGTCCTCGTCGAACTCGGGTGCATTGTCATTCTGATCCTGAATAGTGATCGTCAGGGCGGTCTCTGCTCGCCATGCACCGTCCGCTGCTACGACCTATAACGAAGTAGTAGAAAATAGTAATAGAAAAGAAAGAGAGAGAATAGTTTTAATTTTGACACGACAAACAAAGTTTTTAGCAAAGCATCAAAGCAAAGTAAACTGCAAATGTAATATATTTCAAGAATTAATTTGTATCGCGCCAAAAAATTAAATATCACTTTTTTAAATATTTAATTGCATTCCTCAATTCTAAAATGCGTCTAAACTTAAAAACGTTTGAATGTCTTAAATTTTGGGCGTTATTGATTATATCTCTAACAATATTACTTTAAATTTTGCATTATTATTTTTTGTTTAATTATATTTAATTTGCATTATTATTTTTCGAGTTTAAACGCAATTCCTTCGATTTTGTATAAAGATATAGCGTTACAAATTTTTGTCAATTACACATGATATTGAAGACTAAATATCCTACCTTTAGCAGATACTCATCTTGCTCCTCTCTGTCGAGCTGCCCAGCCACGGTCACATTTCCGCTTAGGGCGTCGATGGAAAACTTTTTTCCTGGATTTTCGGTAAAACTGTAACTAACGTTCGCATTCTGACCAATGTCCAGGTCACTACTGGTGATGCGTATAACGAACGTGCCGATTTCCGCGTTCTCCGTCACGTTGACGCTGAACAGTCGCGTGAAGTGCGGCGGATTGTCGTTCTTGTCCAGAACGGTGATGAGCACCATGGCGGTACCGGTTAATCGGGGATAACCTTGATCTCTAGCTTCCACGATCAGCTCGTAAGACGCAATCTGAAGGAGTTCCGAATTTAGTTAAATTACATTATTAATTTTCATAAAAAATATTTTCAGGATCCTTAGATAAATTGATTCGAGATAATTGTAATTTGATATAAATATTCCCTGATAGCAAAATGCAAACAATTTTCTCATAGATTGGCAACAAAGTTGTTTAGATTTAGACTGCAAATCTATGCCATCTGTGTCCTTATTAGGCTCAGAATTTATTGACGAAGCCTGCTGATATGCTATGCAAGCAAATTGTCGGTAAAAACCGAGCAAATAAGTTTGCAAAGTTGTCTGGTGATAAGATATATTTGCCCGTATTTTGCCACCGATTTGTTCAAATTATGTGAGCAGATTTTGTTATATATTTGCTATACCATATATTGTCGATACCATATATTGTCATCTGACGAATCAAATTTTGTATTAAATTTGTATCTTTCTTGCCAACAAAATTTGTAGCAAGATTTTACAAGATCTGTTTCCAACAAACTTGGCTATCAGGGTTGTAATGAATTAATTGGATATTATGACTGTCATCGACTACTATAATATTCGTACCTCTTCGCGATCCAATTTGGCATTGGTCTCGATCTGCCCGGTACTGCTGTCGATGACGAAGGACTCGGAGAAGTCCTGGACGAGATGATAAGTGACCTGGCCATTCTTGCCAGAATCGCGATCCCTCGCGGATACCTTACTGACGAACAACGGCGGATATTCCTCTTCCATCACGGTGGCGTTGTAAATGGCAGCTTCCATGACCGGCGCGTTATCGTTGGCATCCGTGACGTTCACCATAAGTTGGAGAACGCTGCGCAGTGGAGGTGTGTCCGAATCGCGAACTTCAATCCAGGCTTCGTAGTGCGGAGTCGTCTCATAGTCAAAGCCAGAAGCAACCACGACCTAAAAAAAATTGTAATAATACTCTTTAAATTTTCTGAAGTGAATCTCACTCCAAAAGAGTGAAAAGTCACTCCAAAAAATTCAGAGAGTAAAATAACATGTGACATATTTTAAAAAATAATGAAAATTTTCGGAACGATTTTAAATTCCATATAAGAAAGAGAGAGAGAAAATTACATAAATAAAATTAAAATTTGATCTCTCATTTACCTCTCCGGTGTGAGGATCGATCCTCAAAGCATCTCCCACGTTTCCGCCGGCTATGCCGTAGATCAAATTGCTCGCCGATCCACTTTTCGGCGTGGTAGCGCTCAGCTTGGTGATCACCTTATTCTCGGACACGTCCTCAGACAATGTGAAGCTCGTGCTGACGCTCGATCGGAAGCTGGGGAACAGCTGCCGATCCCACAAGTGGATCATCAAATCGGCTGTGACGTGCTGGGGCTCGGGACTGCAGTCCGACGCCTGTATTTGTAATTGATAGGTGATCTGGTCGCCGATCAGTTCTTGAGTAGCACGGATCACGCCGTTGTTGAGATCGATAGTGAACCGATCGGCGTCCTTGCCATGCAGCCGGTAAACGATCCGCGAATTCTCACCGTCATCGTCGTCGCTTGCTTTCGCGCCAAAGACAAAGTCGCCTGTAAAAAAAGAAAAATTAGCATCAACATTTTAAGTCGCCATTGGCTAATTAGCGAAATGCAAAACCGCTCTATCTTTCTTTCAGTAATCAATGCTTAAATTTAATTAAACGCACTCGATATCGCCGCACCGATTTCATTACCTGGTTTGGTTGCGTTTGGAACATAGGCTGTATATCGGGGACTGGAAAAGCGGGGCGCATTATCATTGACATCCGTCACATAAATCGTCAAATTAACGGCGGAAGCACGTGGCTCCGTCGGGCTCGAATCCCTGGCCACCAGAGTCAAATAATACACGGCAGTCTGCTCGCGGTCCAACGGTACCGTGGTGAACACTTCGCCCGTGTCGGGATCTGCGGAAAACCGCTCCGCTTTGTCTCCAAGTAGGTTGTAGCTATTTAGAAAAAGTAATAAAAATTATTTAAACATTGTAAAATATATTATCAATAAAATTAAACATATTTAATCAATGCAGATTATTTTGCTATAATTGTTTCAGAGTGATTTTTAAAGTATGTATATTTAAAGGTTTTTGTATAGGTTTTCGAATTTTCGTCGCAAAATTTTACCTAAAGAAAATAAAATCTAGAATCAATTTCTCATTTAAAATTATTAAGTTCTGTAATAACTACTAACTTAAACGTTAATTAGCCAAAAACGCGATACAGGAAGAAAACTGTATGTTCTCTCTTTAAAGATAATATATATGTATATTCCAAATATAGATGAATTTCTACCGAAAGTAAAATTACATAATAAACTTTCTTTTAGATTTAATCTGTGTGATTCAACATCACGCACATGTAGTATGTCATGCCCTAAAATGGAATACATTTTTCAATCGTGATTACGCAACATCGAGGAGTGTCTACCTTATTTTCGCATTAAATCCTTCGTCCTTGTCCGTGGCGTGCGGCTTGATGACCCAAGTTCCGGCGGGTGCGTTCTCCACTATGGTGGCCTTGTAATCCTGCCGGGCGAACTCGGGGCTGTGATCGTTCATGTCGAGGACGACGATCCTGACGATGCCCGATCCGGTGAGAGGTGGCGAGCCTGCAAGAACGCGACGTGAAACCTCGGTCGTGTGTTGTCGTTGGGCGGCCATAAAGACAACCGCCGTCGCACCAGTGCGACGTGCTCTAACTCGGCTTGTTTCTATTTTTTTTATTGTTTATTTAATTTTTTTTAACTTTTATTACTATCTCACGAACCGTAACGCCGCGCGACCGTAGTTGGGTCAGTGGCGCGATTATTTCGCTAAATTTACAGCCCGCTTCTCGCGGCTCGTTTATGACGGTTTAAATCGGTCCAAACGGAAGGTAAACCGGGGTCATAATTTTAACAGAATATTATTGTGGGGCTCGCGAGACGCCGTAAAGTGATTTAGAACTTGCCCGTGCCCGTCATGGAATATACTTTCTTTTAACCGGCAAATCGTTGCTCCTACAATTTTTCCTTTTGCAGAGTGTTGCGAAATTATTTGGAACAAAAGTGAAATGCACAAACCGAAGCGTCATTTAGAGCGAAAACTTACACTGACATCGTTTATTTTATTGCATTGTTATTTATTTTTTATATTTCTAAATGTAAACCAAAAATAAATAAATTGTAACTAATTGCGTTTATTGTAAATTAGCTGGAATGATCCTAAATCGGTGTTTTCCTGAGACCCGCTTTCAAAAATCAAAGAGCGGTACATTGAGATAATTGGGATTGTGAGTAAAAGCGCGAGTTTTCTAGATCGCGGAAGTGCGCGCGGCGGCTAAATAATGGCCGGCACGGGAGGGAGGGAGAGGGGTAATTTAGACGTGACACACGCGTTCTCCAGCGATGCCCATTGTGCTACCCACTTATGATTTACGGATTGGGATACCTCGAGTAACGACGTTATAGTGCGCGCGGAAAAATCTCACCGCCGCTTAATTGCGCCGCCTAAAACGCACCATTACTCTCCAGCAGGGAAGGAGGGGAGGGGACCGATTTCTCTGATTGCGCACCGAGTATATACGCGGCGCATGTAGGTATATGTATACATGACGAGCGTTGGCGTAGCCCAGGGCCACGCGCCTGCACGGACGTACACCGTTCAATCACGCGGAGAGTTCCCGTCGAGGGATAAGAGAAAGGAAGAAAGAGAGGAAGAGAGAGAGAGAGAGAGAGAGAGAGAGAGAGAGAAAGCGGGAGAAGGAGACGGAGGCTGAGACTGAAACCGTATTTATCATGTTCTAGGTAAATATCCCGTAAGAGTACAGATTGGATATACCTATAGACCGTGTCAGAAGTCTCGCGTTTTCTTGTGGCTGCAGATTTTTCTTTAACTTCCTTGGGAATATACTTGACAAAAAGAAATAAAAATTAACTACATATAAAATTTATAATATTATTATAATTAATAAAAAGGGTAAAAAAATGTTTCTGGAAAGACGAGCCTCGCAAGGGCTGATTCGTCACGTAATTTTTAATTGTTTTAAATATATAATGCACATTTCAAAAATATAATAAATAAAGAGTATAAATTAATCCAAGCAACAATTTTAATTTTTCTGAAAACGAAAAGCAACATTGCATATGCAAAACAGTATCGATAATGATAAAGAATAAAAAATTGTATAAAAATCGAATAGTTGTGTTACAGTCAATCGAATAATTATCAAAAATAATTTTCATTTTTCTACCATTATTTCGTTATAAATGAATCGTTATAGGTTAACAATTCATCTTGAAGTAACGGTAAAAAATTGACGGAAAAAGATATTTGAAAGTAATGAAATATAATATAGCTATAGGAAAATTAAGAAAACAGAAGAAATGCGTGAAAAAGGAAGAAGAAAATGAGACATGTAGCGGTATAACAATTACGGTACACAATGACGTGAGGAACGCGAGTTCCCAGGGATTCAGAGCCAGGAGAGATGGCCCACTTTGCATAACGAGTAATCGCATAATTTGCTTACTGCTTCCTAATGACAGTAATGAAGAGGTTCACTCGCTACGCCGATTTCCACCGAACGGGATTTTCAGCTCGACTGATCAGGAATATCGATTTTTAGGGAAACCACTAGCCTTAGATATCATGAGTACGAGGTAGACAGTAAGACGCATGTATACGGCTTCTCGCAAAAGTCCTTATCGAAAGGATATTAAGAAGTGATTCTTGAAACGCCATCAGTTGACTATGTTCCGGCTGACGTGTATATTTTTATTTAATTGTAAAGAGATAAAACAGACACACAAATCATCGAGTCGTATTTCTCAATAGAAGCGGGACATCCTGTTTACGTGCGGCAGATGCTGAAGGGGTCGTAAGACCCCGCATAATCGCCCCGAGACGCGCAACACAAAAATATGTGCCTCGAGTGCGCTGACGCGCGAGCGCGTGACAGCGTTCTGCGGTGTATGTGAATAAAGTAGAATATAATGTGCGAGTGCGGGCACTATCCAAAAGAGACGCATGGCTCTCTTTCTCTCTTCAGACAAAAAGGAGGGGTCATCAGGCCCGAAACGCGCGCGGGGCTTCACGAACGGCGGAACGGGAAGACAGGGGAGGAGAACGGCACGGACGAGATGGTGAGGAACGAAGCGTGTTGGAGAAGGGGGCCTGAGGCCCGGTGGTTGAAGCGGGAGGGAGGAATGGCAGAGAGGCGAAGGAGGAAAAGGGAGGAGAGGACAGTGCGCCAGCGCCGAGGCAGACAGGGAGGAAGGCATTCGAGGCCGATTATCATAATCGCGCGTCATAACTCTGCAGGCTTGTCTACCTCGCCGGAGACCGATTGGACCATCGAGCCACCGCGACCGGGGGCGGGACGGGAGAAGGGGTGGGCGGGGAAGGGGTGAAAGCCGGGGGGGAAAAGGAGGACCCGGGGGAGGACTACCGGCTTCTAAGAGGAAGCAAGGAGAAAAAAAGAAGGTTTAAGGGGGAGGAACTGCCCACCGCTTAAAGAATCTCATCGAACAACCCACAAATTTATATCCAATTTGTATATTACCGCTCATTACTTAAACCCACCGCGTACATCGTCTATCGTTTCTCGTCTATGTGCCGGACAGCGTCCGATATTGCGCATTGACATTTCGGCGGATCGTTATTTGATGGACGGCTGGTGGTACGGTTTGCATAAGGAATTAGCACGAATCGATTGCGGGGCATAATTTTCGCGAACATTTGAGCCGATCTCGTGCAGGATGACTGGAAATAATAGTAGTTGCACTAATCGTCAGATCAATTGATAGCCAGCCAAATGTCTCTCTTTGAATATGTAAAAAAAAAGAAGTACTTGAGCGATGTCTCAATTTTACGATACGATAATAATGTAATAATTAATATTTTATAATAATAGTAATTAAAATATGAAAATATTTACAAAAAATAAAATAAAAATTATATATATAATCACATGAATACCATCAGTTTTTAAAGGGAAAGAAAAGAAATAAATATCATTAAAAGAGGGATTTCAGAAGGAAGGATTATCCAACTTTCTCCAAGATTGTCCACCTCTAATCTTTCTCATCAACAAATTACAAAATTACATTGCAATAATTGTAGCAATCTTTTCGTTCACAACCGCACTATTTCGGTTGCACTGATGTGCCGATCCAAAGCTTAATTAAGTTCTTTGTTCGCACTAATTCGCAACCAATTTTACACAGACCGGTCACAGTTAGATGGATCGTAAAAATAATCCCTGCCAGAGAGAATAAAGGGCTATCCTTTCAATGTCGTGCCATTGTATGATAGATTGACAATAGATATACGTCTATTTGGCAGTCCATCTGCGGCAAGGAACCCGCGAGAAGTATCGCATATCCTTGCTGTTGCACTCTTTTTTCATATTAATTTTGCATCATTGAACAAAATTTTTTTTTCAGCGAACTATTAATGTGCAAAACGTACAAACATTCTGTACGCGATATATCATCAAATTTACAAGAATATATTTTATGTATAATAATCTTTATATTTTTATTAATTATATTAAATAAATTTCAATTTCAATTTCAGTTTTTTTTAAATCTATAATATATGACTATGTCGCAGCACAAGACATTCTAACAATATTGCAATATTCTCACAATATAACTGAAATGCTGTTGGAACGTAGTTGAACTTGGAATGTTTCAACGTTGCTGCAATATTGCTGGCATGTTCAATAGAGTATTTTATAGAAGCTGAGTAACTTACCGGTATCCATAGCCACTAGAGTAAGTGTGTATTCCGGTACCAGTTCCCTGTCCAATGGACGAAGAAGCGATATATCGCCGGTGCTCGCGTTTATGCGAAATAGATCCGTGTCACCCTCCTTGAGGAAGTATCTCACTTGATCGTTGTACGGTGGAGTGTCCGCGTCGTACGCCGTAACCTTTTAACGAATATACAAAACTTTAATTTCGATTCAATTGCCAAAATGTGTTTGATTCGCGTATATGATGAGATGAAATTTCGAAATATATAGTTACAATTAAGATTAAAATGTTTTAATTATTTTGGAATTATTATAAATATTTTGTTTAACTTGAACAAACGGCTTGATTCGACATTCGAACACTCGGAGTATGTCGAACCCTTCATTCGCTAAAATGTTATACCTGCATCACAAAACCGCCCGGCGGCACCATGTTCTCCATAACGTGTGCCAGATAAGGCGAATCGAGGAAGACCGGCGCGTTGTCGTTGATGTCGAGCACGGTGATGGTAATCTGGGCCGTGTCGTTGCGTGGTATCTTGTCGACTTCCGCCGCGCAATCCTCACTGCCAATGATCAGATGGTACCGGGATTTGCGTTCGAAGTTCAGGTTCTTCGCCACCCGGATCACACCACCGTCCTCTGAGATCGTGAAATCCCGATTGTCATCCCCCATCTCGATGCTGTACCGCACTCTGCCGTTCGCACCCTCATCGCGATCCGTCGCCGATACCTGAGGCCGAGCAACAACAAAATGACGATTTATAATTTCAGCATATTGAGAAAGAAAGAGGGAGAGAGAGAGAGAGAAAGAAAGCTACATTTTCATCTTTTATTATTCTAATATTAATTACTCTATCTAACAAACATTTTATAGAAATTAACAATGTAACAATAACAGATATTCTTTTCGGATTCTATTTTTATCAGTGGATTCTAAAACTGGAAATTACATCTATATAGACTTTAAATTCACATCGTCGGAAAATTTAATTTAATTTTTTTTAAAAATCTTGTTTTTTTTCCTATCCACTTTAACTCTTATAAAGCATCGAAATTCATCGCAGTCTCACTGACTTGAAGGACACTGGCACCGATGCTGGCGTTCTCGGCAATGGTGGCGAAGTACTGTTTAGGATCGAACAACGGTGAGTTGTCATTTTCATCGAGCACCGTGATGGAAATGATGATCGATGATGATCTCGGCGGCTCGCCACGATCTTTGGCGGTGACCTCCAGGGTGTAGTTGGATCTTTGTTCGCGGTCCAACTGCCCGGATACGCGCAGCAGACCGTCCACTGGACCGAGGGTGAACGGCAGGTTACTGTCGTCCTTCAGCAAATACTCGACGTTACCGTTCCGACCCTCATCCCGATCGATCGCTTTTATCGGCATCACTACCGCGTTGTTCGGCGCGTTCTCAAATATCGATATCTTCGTAGGTGATATGAATTCCGGCGACATGTCATTCACGTCCAGCAGCACCACCGTTACCTATGTTGTTTAAATGAAGGATAATGTGCATTATGTTAGAACTCAGTGAAGAGAGGAATGATTTTCAACACGCGACTTTAGTTTCATAATTGTTACTTATAAATACTTTAAATTTAAATTTCTAGTATTTTTAACAATGCAGCATTTTTAACAGTATATTCGATGGTCCATCCTGAACTTTCCATTCAGACTGTCTGTCTGTTTTAAGCATAAATTATTATAGTTATCTTATATATATTATACAATGTGTATGTACCATCGGTGCTCACGACCTAAATAAACAATCGCGCGAAAATGCCGCAACACGAAACACTTAAAAAAAAACTCAAGAGTTGTTTAAAACTTCCTCATGTGTACGAAAACATCATAGAAAAGTGTTTGTTAAATTTCTTTGGATTCACCAACCTGTACTACGGAGAACAACGGCCGCGCCGGCGGTAGTGGACTGTCAGTGGCGCTCAGCACCAGGTTGTAGAGCGGCTTCCGCTCGCGGTCGAGAGCCCGGCGCGTGAAGAGGGTGCCGTTGTGGGCCACCCCAAAGTCACCGTCCTCATCGCCGCCGACGATGGCGTAGACGATCCTGGCGTTGTCGCCGGAGTCTAGATCCTGGGCGGTCACGGTGAGCACGGGTGTGCCGATGGTCGCGTTCTCCACAATTTCGGCCGCGTGCGGCCCGGTCTCGAAGATCGGCGCGTTGTCATTTAAATCGATAACGTTGCAATACACCGTCACGGTGGATGACAGCACCGGCACACCGCCATCCGTCGCTTCCACGACGAGGATGTAGTGCTGCACCTATATAGATAACGCAAAGTAAAATGGACAAACAAATTTAGATTTACGTAATTGTATGATTTAATTATATACGAAGAATATATATAAAGATTTTTTTTCTATATAACTTTAAATATTAGTTGTATAATATATATAATGTAAAAGTAAATTTTGTACTAATTAAGATTGTTTAGTATTGTATAATATTGAGAGTTTTTGTTACTTTAGTCAAAGTTAGTTTCTTCAGGGGACAAGAATAAAGCGATTGAAAATAAAAGATTTTTTATAAACGTTAACATTGTAAGTTAAAAAAAATGTCATAAATAATTAAATCTTTTTTATTTAATTTTTATTGAATTTTTACTTCTTTCTTTTAATGTTTTTACTAACAAAAAATCAATTTCAAATTTAAAAGAGGATAAAAGGAAAATTTATTTTTATTAAATTAGAACTATTTTTGTTAAATAAAGAAAATTAGTGTATTAATTTATAATTCTCTCCTTGTAATAAATCTTCTTGTAGTTGGTCCTTTTAAGAAGCGCGTATTTAACTGTTTGGCAAAGACTAAAATGTCAGTTTCGGCACCATGCTATTTCTTTGTTTCCAACGCGTTTCGCATTATACACACGTGCGTACGCGCGTATGGCTCTGTAATGACGCTGGCGTGTATCTGGAAGGGCATTACGTTGATGAAGGGTTCTATAAGCTACCCTTATCCCGTACCTCTCGCTTACGCTTTCTCCTCTTTCTTCTTTCGTTTTCTTCTCGATAGAAGCTGCATCAACACGCTCTATCGTATCTAAAGCGCAAAACAGTGGCGTAGCCAACGGTTGACACGCAATTGTGCATATCAATCGTATTATTGTATTGATATTAATATCGTCATTGGCGACATTTTTAATGTAGAACGTTATATTTTATAGCTGGAGATAAAACTAAATGTGATTCAAGAGAACAGAAATTCTAATAGGTAAAAAATGTCTACGTAAATATCTGATAAAAGGAGAGAATTTCGAACAATGGTATTTTTTTTATAAGTAAAGAACTATTTTTTTTAACTAATATATTAACTAGTTTCATAATTAATAACGTTTTTATCTGAAGAATGGATGCTGTTTCTTTAACCGGAAAAAAAACAATTATTTAAACTCCCTTGCATATTCAAAACTCCTTCGCAACTATTCTCCTTGTCTCGTATTACCCGTTTGGGAGAACGCGCTGCAAATTTTCCCGCTCTGTAAAATTCTAGAACTTCGGTTACGCTACTGGCTACAGCCCACGAAGTGCGCGTTCTCCCGAAAGTATGGCTAAGTATGGCTTGTCTCCGAAATGTAGCACCGGGAGAGACCGCCATTAAAGACTGTCTGTTCATCGATCTGTCCGACTGTTATAGCGTTAAACCCTAAATTCTAGCGTTGTGCCCTCCGCTCCGGGTAATATAATAGGTGCGCACAGATCCTTGAATGTAGAGGCGTGTTCATGGTTATAATCGCTGCCCGGGGCATCCGACGCGTTTTAACGTTATACGCGTGCGTATTTCAGTTCCGAGAGACTGATCCGAACGGAACTTTATCCCGACAAGCCGCCGTTAACCCCTTCGTATCCAGCGACCGTTATGATGGACATATCTATAGCGATATGTAAACATATGGCTTCAGAATCATCCGGCATTATCGTTCCAGTTCATGAGCATGCTCTGGGTTATGACTGCGATCATTTAACAGCGTCTTTTTACGTGGAATAATAAATAGAGAACGAACAAGTCACGGTTATGTCTGTACGTGCATAGAAAGAGTCGAAAGAGAATCGCTGAGAAATGAGAAAGAAGGAAGAAAGTCTTTCGACACCGAAAGACTTCGGTGATGTCGAGACGAAAGTTTGAATGGCCAAAATATACATCGTAAAATTTCGCACGAATTATTTATAATCACGAGGGTTGATGAAAAATTCAAATTTTCCTGTTAATAAATGAGAACCAATCCAGAAGGGTCGAAATCTTAAAGTGATCGTCGTCTGATTTACTCATAATCATTGATGATAACTTTATTTACATTATTATTTTGCTCATGAGCCGCCAAAGACCAGGCCGCCAAAATTGACTCGTCGAAAAATTCCATGCGGATTCATGAACTATTCATAATCGCGGAGAGAAACGATTCATGCGAAATTCAAATTTTTCTGTCGGTATAAATAAAGACCTTAATACAAGCGAAGTTAAAATAGCTACGATCGTCGTCGTTGATGACTTCATTCGAACGGAGTTCTTTATTATCGGACGTGATAGGGACGCCTTTTCCGATAAGTACCAACCTGTTCGTAGTCGAGGCTCGCGCTGAGCGTGAACACGCCGGTGCTCGGACTCAGCGAGAACACATCGTTCGCCCAGTCGGAGATGAGCACGTAGCTCAGATGGCTGTTGGGCCCCAAGGCGTCTGCGTCCGTCGCGACGACCTGACCGATGCGGCCGCCCCTCGGCATGTTCTCCGGAACGTCGAACGAGTAGGCCGTGCTCTGGAAGGTCGGCGCGTTGTCGTTGGTGTCGGTGACCTGCAAACAGCGATTTTCGAGATCCTCTATTAGTAACGATACGTATAACGAATAATAATGTAAGACACGACGTATTACAGCTGTTTGCCTTTAACATTTTTTCATTGCCAGTAGATGAATAAAAGCACAAAATATTAAATATTGGTAAAAGAATGTACCTATCTATATACATATAGATGCTGATGTAAAACTAGAGATATCAGTAGATACTTTCATCTATAATTTTCCTTATATAAAAGATAATCTTTTTTTAATATATTGTAATACGTACAAAAAGTGTTAGCTCTTGTTTAAATTTTGGTTAAACCTATATACAAAGATTTAAGTAATTTTCTTAAAAATTAAAACAAAATAAGAAATGCTTTTTTTTTCTTTTCCTACTCGTTTCACGGTAATCCTTTATCTAATGTTTAAACGCCATTCTATAGGCTAGACGCACACTTCCCTTCCGAGAATTCCTCTGCGAGAGCTTTTTTTTCTTCAAAGCCATTTCAAAGGACACACAGTGAGTTGCTTTCATTACGCACGTCCCCGCGCGCCTTTCATCCCTCTGCCGTTTAATAAAAGCGGCAGAAAAGATTTCACCGCGCGCGCACCTCCTCTCGTGTCCCGCGCGCGCCTCTTAATAGACCCGGAAGCCGGGTACGCGCGATCTTAAAATAAACACTCGGAGAATAAAATCGGCTCGAATGGCGCGCACTCGACGTCATTCTTGGATAAACACCGCCGCCACCGGAAATATTCGCGCGCCGCGCTCACTTCATTCGCCTTCGAATTATTGTGCTACCTCGCTCTCGCGCGCGCGCGCGCGCAGTAGTCCCGGCGCGAGAAAACATTCTCAGGGCCCCGCAGGCTATTTATCCATGTAACAATGCGCTCATTGTGATCGATCGTCATGGCAGCGATGAAATGCACGACGGAAAAAGATGGCCCTCTCGCGATCGAGGGCGAGAATAAATAACGCTGGTAAACATCATTTTCATCGGCGTGTAACGCTCCCTTTAATGTTTTTTCATCAGTTTTCATGATTATATTATTATTGGTTGAAAAAAACACACACACATTCACATATAATTTCATTGTAATAATTTTTCAATCGTCTGTTCACGTCGTTTAATTGTCTATTGGATTATTTCTGCGTAATGTTACATGAAAATTTTTTATAAAACCATTACTTGTTGACGGGAAACAATAAATATTTTTAAACCGAGTGTGAAAAGAATACCATTATAGAATTCTTATAATGTATCTGACAAAAAATCCAGATAATTTTGCACATGATTTAATGTAATCGATCTTTTTTTTTTTTTTTTTTTACGTTAATTCCTGCGCGACACCGTAATGCCACCAGTTCCTTTTTTATCGCTGAAGGAAACCAGAAACGAACGGCAGATTTTCGCGGATTTACATTTTTTACGCATTTGTCAAACTAAAAGAAGTAGCGACTTCTCTCCGCTCTCTCTCTCCCTTCCTCATTCCTTTCCCACTCTCGCTTGCCGAAAACGCGAACGCGCAATAACTTAAACAACAAACGATACATTAATCTCGTGTACACATGTAAATTATCAGTCAGATATGTAAATTACATTTACCGCTGAGACTATGTTCGCGGCTTCCAATGAGCGCTGAATCTAAATATGATTTAATTTATGTCTCAGTAAATCGAACTCAAATTAGACGATGTGAGATTTTCGCATGTTCTTTCTTTCTTTCATGCTAAAAGACTTACGGAATATCTGTAATTCGATTGCAATGTTAGTAAGACTTGATTTTATGATATCAACGATATCAATTATTTTGTTTTGATTGATTGTGAGACAATCTCTATCGCAGTAGAGATTTTGTCAGTAAAAAGCATATATTAAAAGCTTGTATTTAAGCATAAAAACAAACAAATCCGTCTCTTTACATGTTAATCATGCAATGCGATTAAAAATATGGATTAATATTGTAATATAATAGGTCAAATTATTGGCCAATAAACAGAATTCTTGATCAATTAATTATTATATTCTTCATTTTCTACTCGAATACTACTATGTCGAGAAAAAAAACTAAATAAAGTTATTCATAGAAACATTTAGTACCTAGTTGCCACTGAAGCAAAATAATTTATTCTTAGGAAAACAGAAATTTTATTATTACAGAGAGTTTATTGCTTTGACAGCAAAATAAAATCAGTTTATAAAAATCTCTCTATAAAATAATCAATTATTGTCGAAAAAAACACAAAATAGAACTATGTCCAATGAGTAAAAGCAATACTATAGTAACAAATTTATTACTGTTTACTGTTTAAATAATAATTACAATAACGATATTTCCTATGACGGTTTAAGTTTTCCTTTTAATGTGCAAATGTGAAAAGTCATTTAAATTGTTATTAACATCTCTTGCGTATAGAAAATTAATGTGATTACTAGATTGATACATCTCCCTAGAGGTAGAGCTCAAGCGTGTGCTCGAAACATTTCTAAGCTTTCCGCGGGGACGGACGCGCGGTGCGGTAGAATGAAGTGGGCACGGTTTGATTAAGGAGGGCTCGGAGACGTTTGCAAAAAGTGATGGTGTCCCGAGACGACAGTGGATGACGAGGAGCCAGCGAGAAGAAGGGAGAAGACGAAGAAAAAGGGATGGGATGGAAGAGGTTGGGCAAGAGACGCTTTGAGTCCCGGTGAAGGACCGAGGGACGACAGGGGGTAATACCAGACGGGGCCCAGATTCCGCGACCGAGGCATGTATGTATATAGTTCGCGAGCGACAATAACATGCTCTTGCCGATATCTAAATATGTGTGTGCGTGTGCGTGTGCGTGTGCGTGTGTGTGTGTGTTATACATAATCATACATAATAAAAAAATAGATTACTATTTATAATGCACGGAAGTTGCAGAGAAAATGCAACCGCTCTCATTTCTTTCGGACATGATAATTGTCATATTAATATTGTTAATCTGACAGCATAAGATAATATGCATGAAGAGAGAATAACAAACTTTGCACATTAAATCTCGAATGAGTATCAACTTCACAAAATTTTTATTAAGTAAATGTTATATGATCCAAATGAAATATAGCAAATAAATGCATTTTTTAATACAAATATTATACACTGCTTCTTTCTATTTAATTTATGATTGAGAATCAACTAGATTTTCTTAAATCAGTAAATTGTATTTTATATATAAATAAATGTGATCTGTCATAATTATATCATTATATTGATTACTTTGGCATTTCAGTTCATAAACATGGCAACATGACAGATATATAAGAAACTTGAAAGGAGTAGAATTTAAAAACGTAATCTCTTTAAATTTTTATTCTTAAATAAAATAATTCTCAAATAATTGTTAGTTTCGAAATGAGAAAATATTCTAATTTAATCTTTGCGCGTTATTCTGATAATGCCGCCATTTTATTCTATCATAGCCTATTCTTGCGCGATAACATCGAGCGAGAATAGTTTGATGAGAAGAGGACAACGGGTGGGGAATCGAAGTAGAAAAGAAAAAAAAGAGATTCTCCAAGGGATCCAGGAAGGTCGATCGAGGAAGAAATGGTTAAGGTTAGCGAGAGGAGAACACGGGATAGTAAAAAAAGACAGGGAGGAAAAGAGGGAGCACAGCACAGGGCAAGGGGACCAGATATAAGAGGCCAGAAGGGGCAAATTCCGCAACAGTCAGCCAATAGAGAGCCGACCCTCTTTCATGGGGCCCCGAAACTGTCCAAGCTATGACCGGATCTGACATGCCTCTTTTTCTTTCTCTCTTTCTCTCTCTCTCTCTCTCTCTTCTTCTCTCTTCTACCTTTAAAGATGAAATAGCAGGCGCGAGCACGCGGCGGGTAAAGCGAAGTCTTTAAAAAGAATTTCAGCCATTACATATCATAAGGATAATTTTTGCGATTGTCTCCGATGGGATCCCGGCGCAGCCCGGTACCGGTGGTCGGGGCTCCCTCTTCGGGCTTCGTTAAACGGCCGGGCCTCGGGTCGACTCGCGTTTTTTATCGCCACGAATCGTTTCGACCGGACCGCGTAATGAATTATAAGGCGGGACGCGCACGATACACTCCGCGCGTCACCGAGCACGCCTCGCAATAGCGCGCGCTCAAGGATCGGAGGGGTGCCGAATGGAGGTGTGGATACTTTCCGACTGACTTGATTTAAGTACTTCTAATGCTAGAGGGAAGAGATAATCTTTCAATAAAATATAATTCTAGAATACATATCTTTTATTCTAAAATGTATATAAGATTGGTAAAGAAATTTATTTCTTTTTTATACATTTATATTAATCAAAGAATGTATGAATTTTTTAATCAACATATAGATCCGATGTGTATCGAGTAATATGAGAGTAGGCGTCGAGCATTTAAAGACTAAATTTATCTCGTAGTCTCGCTGACAGAAATTCTGATTGAAATCTCGAGCTTTTTTGCGATAGTTGCGCGATTTATCATACTTCTCTCTCTTCTCTCTCTCTCTCTCTCTCTCTCTCTCTCTCTCTCTCTCTCTCTTTCTCTGCTCTGACATTCTGACGCAACTGATTCGCGCATGGGTCAATTTTTCTTGCGGCATTTTGCAATCACGCAGAAACGAATTCGATCTTTTTCGCTAACAGAGGAACGGGTGTGCCATTGTTGCATGCACGTGCAGAGAGAGTGTGCGAGCAATCCGCGTGGCGGGTCGCCAGGCAATCGTAGATTTATCTTCCGAGTGATGCCTGCGCTGCGCGGGTACGCAATAGCGCAACATTGTTCTGCTCGAGATCGCTCGTTACGATAGACAGCGCTGACTTATGCGTACGGCATTATAGTTGTACACCCCGACTTTTCTCGCCCCGCCGGCGTTTTCGCCTGATTACCGGCCATTAATTGAAAAATATCAGATCCATCCGCGACCCTTTACCCACGCCCCGCGAAACAGTCTGGCGTGTAGCATGAAGCTTGCACGATTATAGCTTTTAATTTACATCGAGCTTTGTCACCGGCTTAAAGTGGCGTATAACTACATTTTTTTCATATCGCGAAAAACCGACTTACTCTTTCGTGTCCTATACCGAAAAAGAAATTCTCTTTCGTAAACACGCACACTTTTGAAAAAAGTAATCTTGCAATTATATAGCGAGAATTATTTAGGTACGAAAAATTAGCTGAAACGAATAAGTGATTAGTAAGCACTGCGACACCACATATGTTTTATATTTAATCAATATAGATAACAGAGACAGAAATTATATCTGAATTACTTGTCAAATTTAGCAAGAAAGTTCCTCTATGGCGTTTAATTAGTCCAGACTCCAATCATATTTGATTACGAAACCTATATATTTTCTTGTATATATTCTTAGAATATTGCTGCTATAAATTCTACGTATGACAGACAATTTTTTAGCAGATACAAAAAACAGCGATATAATTTAAGTGTAATATTTAGAATTCTAGCTGGAAGAGCGAAACATTTCCCTGAGTGCATATTCTTCTCGAATTAAATTCATAAATTTCCCATGAGAATCTATTTAGATTGAATTTCTCTGCACTATTAGATAGAACAAATTTCTTCTCTCATTGGGCAAATTTTACACTACACCGTGTCGTGTTGTCCGACTCGATTCCGTTAGAGATTGATTACCCTTAAATTGTCCGGTAATTGGTCTCGTAGCAATAACGATATCCCGTATAAGTACATCCATAAATTAATTCATCGCTGTAGTTACTTAGCGTCTCTCTCTCTCTCTCTCTCTCTCTCTCTCTCTCTCTCTCTCTCTCTCTCTCTCTCTTTCTCTCTCAATCCTTCATCCTACAAGACGATTCGTTACTCGCGCATCCTTCGAGCGAGGAGAAATTAGCCAACGTCGCCAAGTTCGTTTGTTGATACGACGACCGAATTCCATCACGAGTACCGGGTTATTATTTAACTACGGAGGAGAATCGTCGATATGAAGCAATAGGTTACAGTTATAGTAGGAAGTTGTCGGCGACCTTTCGGCACGGGGACGTGTCTAATGCATTATCGACTTGACCCCATAGGCTCGCACCGAGCATTCCGATACACGGGAACAATCGTCCGCTCTTCGCTCTGCTGGATCACAGTTTGCCTCTCCTCCCTTGCCAATGGCTACGAATGCCATTTTCACGATGCTTTTAGAAAGAGTGGCGCTTCGTATTCCTAGTCTTACGCTGGTTTAGTTATTTATTTCGGTGTCGCGAAAGAGGTCAATGCGATCGATCGGCACCGCGGGAATGAAATTCTATCAAAAATATAGACTGTGATTTTAAAAGCAGCTGGCATATAAAAAAAAGTGATTAACGTAAAGAACATAAGCAACATAAGAAATTATTATCACCGGTATTTGTACGGAGAAAAATCTGGCGTAATATTTTAAGACGTCTAATAAAGTTTATTAACTACTTATAATATAAACAACAAAGCTTCCTGTTAAGAATATCAATCGCAATCGCTGAAGATTTATTAAATCTGCAAATTCTGCTATGATTTCAAAAGCAGCAACAATAAATAGTGTGTAATAACAAGTGTGTTTACTATTCTGCTTCAATAATAAATTAAATTTGCAACGACACATTTCCATAATTCAGTTCAAATTTTTTAAATTCACATTTTACAACGTAAAGTTGTATTTTTAATTGTGAAATAAATAACGACAAAGTAAATTTATAATGCATATTGTAATTTTCATTTAATGTGATTAAAATATAATTGGTTGTTAATTTTTCATAATATAACACATATAAGTATAATACATATTATGACGTCGTTATGGTTCAGCTTTACAACATAATGTTGTAAGGGGGAATATATATTTTTTACGCAATTTATTTTCTCCGTGTAGGAAATGCATCTCTCTTAACGCGCCACGTCGCTCAAGCCTCGCACTCTCACCTGTATGTGAAGCACGATGTCCCGGTGTTGCAGGCCATCGTCGGCGCGCACCTTGAGCACGTATCTCTCCTTCGCCTCCCTGTCGAGGGACTCGGCGAGGCTCAGCTGGCCGGTGATCGGATGCAGTTTAAATTGGCTCTGCGTCCCATCGTCGTCTCGCGCGGACTCGCCGGAATCATCGTCGGAACGACGGTGATTCGGCACCAGGGTGTAAGTCAGAGTGCCGATGGTATCCGGATCGTGGGCCTCGAGCACGGTGATGACGGTATTGGGCGGCGCGTCTTCGGAGATATTGAATTTCCACGGGCCCGGGCCCCACGTCGGTGCCACGTCGTTCTTGTCCAGCACCGTCACGCGTACCTGCAAGAAGAAAAAGGTATGACGATTAGAAGTGGCTCGCCCGGGGTCATCGGTCATTCCGGTCGGATCGGATCCGATCGGATTGAGTCGTCAATGACTCGACGGTACCGACGCGACGCGACGTATTGTATTGTCAGATGGTGAGGTACGTTCGGGAAACATTACCCTGGGAAAGTCTCGTGTTCTCGAGCAAAACAATCTGGGTCGCTCCCGCAAGATCGATTATCTCGGTCATCGTAAAAATTCTCGGTCGCTTATATAATTAAATAAAACTTTGGCGCAATGATTATACCATGGAAAAATTAATTTTTCTTGGATATAATAATTCATAAACATTTAAAAAGAAAAAATTCGTAGTTTATAGTTGCGTTTCTGCTGAAAAATTCAATCACAAGAAAACAGTCTCAAATCACAATTTATTTCTAATGCTTGAAATTACTCATGCCCTAACTATAAATGTTATTTTCTCATTACTTTCAAGTTGAGAGCGCGGAGTAATATGTGACAAGAAAGAAAATCTCAGCTGAGTACATTTACCATTTTATCTCTAATCAAAATGTGAACGTTACCTAACCAGCAATGTCTCAAGATACATACTCTCTTCATTCCGAGTCTCCCGCCCGCTTTCTGATACATTTTTCTGATACACTTTCGAGGCAAGATTTATGTAACGACTGTATATACGGATCGAGCGCAAGAGAAAAATGTAAGAGCTTAATTTTGAAATACGTCGAGAGCCATATATTCGATACGAGGAAATTTGCGACGATTTGGCTAACGCCGCGCCGGAGACGTAATTACGTGTAAAGCCGAAGGGAACGTACGAAGGCCGTTGCGGAGCAACCGAAGTCACGGTATGCATGCGAAGACTCGTGAGAAAGTTAGTTTTTCGATCCCGCTCGTGCATGTCTCATTTCATTAAATTCTCAGTCACGTCAGCAGCTCCAAGGTTTATACGACTACCAGCAGCCAGTATATCGAAAACGGCGAAAAGGTGCGGTAAACTATTGAAAAAGCATAATACGGGAATAACAGTACCGAAGTAATAAATCAATTGCTACATGCTTGTATTTAATCGCGCTAAACGTTCCCATGCGCGAACCGTGTCAATTCTTCGTGTGTCATTCGCATTTGTGCGGAAGTAAATGCAGCGAGGAGACAGTCGCTGGTAATTCTCGACATAGACAACACGACAATAAATAAAGATTTTCGCTTGTTAAGATCTTTATTTATTGTCGTGTTGTCTATGTCGAGAATTATCAGCGACTGTCATGCAAATGAAGTTGTACCTGACGTTTATTGTTTCAGGAAAATTTGTACAATAATATGTATACGCGCAAACGTATACGAAATATCTATATATGTTTAATAACAAGTTGTATAATAAAATTATTTGAATAAGTAAGTAGTTTTGACGTAAAACATAAAATTAGATGTAGACATCCCGTTTTAGAACGGGAATTTTTATGCAAAGGTGAAAGAAAATGGAAAAAGATGTATAGGTATATTTAACTATACAATTAGAGCCTAATATACATTAGGTACATATAAAAAGTATATTTATAAATTTACAATATGTATATAACTATTTATATAGCTGTATAACTATAATTACATATTTTTGTAAATATAACAAAAATAATATAATTTGTATATATGTATATAATATTTATGTTTTATATATAATATATATATATATATAATATACATATACACGTGCCTCGAAAAAGTCAGGAAATAAGCTTCACATACAGCTGCGTCGGCACCGAAATCGGCCGCCACTGCTCATCGTATAAATTCATAAATTGGGATATCAATGGTTCGGACAGTTTAAACGCCTACGAAGGGTTTCTAATCCAGATATTCACGTAATTGATGGCATGCCTCGACACATATACCTGTGCATCTGTCGGCGTGTGAGCGTGCCGTTGCGAAATCGATGGACTCGATTAAAATACTTTCTCGCGTGAGTCATCTCTTTCACGGAAGAGAGGTGCAAATTGTTTTTCCTTTACGGCGAGCCGACGTAGTGGGTAACCTCGGCCGTGGTAATCCCTTGTGTACACATAATCCGGACCGAGACGAATAAATACGCGGACATTTCTCAGGTAGGGAGCTTTTATATAACGGGGCGATCCGCGAAGGCGCGCGCATCTGTCTTCCCGGTAATTAGTCGAACCCTCCCCTGTCATTGATGAAGTGGTTACCATCGATTATATTGCTCTCTGGATGTCTAGGCGCGCCTATACTATACCGTCGTCGCCGCGCGGTGAAACAACGTTTCGGAATGACGAAACAAAAGTCAGGACCCTCGGAGCCCGAGCCCGAGCCCGATGAAGCCGGGTGGCGGATTAAGCGAGAATAAATAGTCGCGGTTTCCCCGCGTGCCTACCGCCGCCATAAATCGCCGTGTAACCCAGATGCACCGATGATCTCCGCTCGGATGAATGTGTAGATCTTACGCAACTTATGCACGATCGACGCGTGTCGCGTTCGTAGGCGATCCCGGCCGACGATCGATATCATTCGCATGTTATTAGAGTTACGCCATCCTACGACTTTCAATAGAATATGTAGGAAGACCGGCTTTGTAATATGAAAGATGAATTATTGTCTATAATAAAAAAAAAAACGCGGGAACTTTACGGGAACTTTCTAGTGCCCTTTTCTATTGAATATACTTAATAATGAATAGAGAATGTTTTCCTTCCACAAAAATTTTCATAAATATTCCATTAAATATGTGTTCGCAGATCAATAGTTAGCTAACACGAATAGTTTTATTCGTCGGAAATCACGTTTCCGGGTTCTTCTTTCCCTCCCTCTCAGACAAATGCGTATCTTCCGCAACAAATCCGATGTTAAATCGATGATTATTATGGGCCGGCGTTACTGCCAAAAATCGACGCGATAAGAGATATCGATAACGAGCTGGGCCCGGGCCTCGTTCGCCTAATGTATTCACGTGTACACGCGGAGCGAGGTATACCGACGCCGCTCGACGAGGTAAATTTATGCAAAGTCCGTCGGAGCGGGTCCACCACGTCGTCGTTGGTAATTATAGGTGGGCCCCGCTGTATCGTCATTAATAGCGGCTATCGACAGTCCCGTGTTAAATGGCCGCGACGTATCTTAACTTCCCGACATAGTTCACACGATCCGTAAGATTGGCCTTATCTCGTAATGGTGGCGATAACGGCGTGGATTGTTGCGTGAACGGTCCGCCACCCATGCATGATGCCCGTGTTAAGCGAACCGACACTTATCTCAGGCAGACGAAAATGCCCGTGCCCCGTGAGTAACGTGCCTTCTTACGGTCTTCGCGATTCTCTTCGCTTAATTGTATTCCATCGATTCTTAATTTTGTAACTGGTTCTCAAACGTCATTGAGAAGAAAATCGATCGTACAGCCGGAGATATCGATCGCACTTCGAGCGAAAGTTTCGTATCGTTTAGCAAATAAATTAATTAATATATTATCCCGCACTTTTTATTCAAATTGTATCGCATTGCGAATCACATTGATATCACATATGTATAAAATTACAATTAGTTTATGTCAGAAATAATGTGTTTAATACATTTAATACATTATAAATAATATTCATAATAAATCGTAAAAATTAATATTTGTCTGTTATAGATATTTGTAACAAATAAATAAATTTATTTTTTTTTTATTCGTATACTATTATTTGTTAAGCAAAAAAAACATTTATTACTGTATACAAATTTATTTGAAATTATTTAACAAACTTTAGTAGCAGTTTATTTAAATTCACTTCTCTAATTTGTCATATGTTAGATTTATTTATTTACTGTAATTTTTTATTCATTACAAACCCATATATTTCAGACCGGTTGCATCAATGCCGCTATGGCAATAATACTAATTAGCTCATTTTCTCTCTGTCTAAATTATACGCACGACTTCAAAAGAAAGATAATAATTCTAGCTAATTTAGAGTTAGTTAATGCAGACCGTCGGGATGTAAGTAACGCAACCTTAGGTCTGATTGCGTCAATATTGCTCATCTTTCTCTTCCTTTTTGTCTTTCTCTTTTCCATTTTGCAATTATTAATTCTAATTATATCAATATGAAAAATTTTTATCCATGACTATCTACAATACAAGTTGACAAAACTTATTTAAAAAATCATAATTAATAAAAGAGAAAATTTTTTTTGAAAGTACATAAAGATTCAGGATATGAAAAATGATTAGTTTTGAGTTTCGGAATTCAGTTTAGAATAGAGCGCTCCGCGCGCAGTATCGGAGGCGACATTTCCTGCGTCGGCGTTGAAATCATCGCGTGGAGAATACCGAGAGCGGCATCGAAACTTCCTCGATCTCTCAGGACTTTGGCTACAGTCAGTTCGCGCATTTATACGATCTCTCTTCCCTCCCCCCCTCTCTCTCTCTCTCTCTCTCGTTGTTGTCGCCGTCATGAGAGTGGCCGCGACACTTGGTGTCATCGTCGCGAGCGAGCGGGAACAACGAGCGATGAGCGAGGCAACGGCAACAATAAGCAGACAAATCAGTGCGGTCATATAGCTGTCTCTCGGCTACAATCCCACCCCCTTTTCTCCATTCTCTTCTCTATATACTCCGTCTCTCTCTCCTTCTCTCTTCCTCTACCGCTCCTTTTCTCTCACTTCTCGCTCTGCACTCCGTCGATGCGGCGCGAGAGCGCGGTATATGGGCGGTAAGAAACGCCCGGAGAAGAGCATTCGGAGTGCAAGGAAAGATGGTATCTGCGTCAGCGCGGTCGGGGATCAGCGGATCGGATCGAGTCGCTCAGCGGGGGTTTCTTTGGGTCATGCACGAAGTGAGTCCCATTCTTCTGGGGCCCCGTTCCTCTGCCCCGCCCCGCCCCGCCGCGCGCCGCTCCTGGATCCGCCAGCCCGAGGCCCCGCACATGCCCCTCTACGTTCCACCAACCCCCGTCCCGCTACGCGGCCGAGGCATGCATCGTATACAGGCCGATACTCCACGCTCG